TCTAATTATTGCTGACGCAGATATTTTTAGTTCGCTTCAAATTGAATGCACATTTACCAATAACAGTCCATCTTGTTTAAATTAATGTCTTAATTTATTAAAAATGTTTTTATAATTATTTTGCGTGAGTAATATATTTGGACTCTAGTATTGTTTTCTTGATTTTGATAAACATTTATAGTACATATTCTAGATATACAGGACAATATGATTTTTTTGTTTGTTTTAAAAACACATTTGGCATCTGGCAGTCATTATACGGGATTATTTTTGCTACTGGGTTGTGCCATTATGTAATGTTTTTGTAATGTGACGTATGTAATAATAGCAATTTGAAACAGAATTCGGGAAAACACTGAAAATTTCCTTTTTATATTTATGATAAATCAAAACTTTTTGAAATAATTTTTTATAACTGATGCAAGCGTTATTTCAATATTCCGTCCGCTACGGGACAAAATTGGTAGAGTTGATGTAACTTGAAGAGAAATCAGTGTCAAAATTATATAAAAGTATAATTGTATAATGATATAATTGATATGGTGGTATAATTTCATATCTGTGTGTATCCAAATTTTATAAAAGATATAAATGCGTTATATTATTAGAAATGGCATTTCTGTTCGACTCAAAATTGCAAAATTTGCAATCATTATAGAATGTTTCTATTCCATTTTTGTAAATTAAAAAAAAAATTATGGATAAAATTTAAATAATGCTAGTAAAAAAAATTGTTTTTTCAAAATCAACTTCTGAACAACGCAATATTTTTATGTCAAGCATTTATATTACATGCTCATTTATAAAACATGTTCTCAAAGAAATAGTATAAAGGTTAACAATGTTTGGACAGATGACAAAGTGAATTGATGCATAGATTATGGAATTTACAATTTTTATACCATAATATGAACCATAATATGAAACTCACAATTACCTCTCACTCAAATGTGCTTGCGCTATTCCGGTAAATGGGTTTAAAATACAATAAATTGAAATTAATTAACATATTCATCGTCGTCATCAATTTTATTCATTAAATGCTACAAAATAGATACGCGAGAATGATAATCTCCAAACTTAGTGGAAAATATTTCGGTTTTATTTGTTTCGTCATTGGTAACATGCTGTTGCTTAGTCATAGATGAGGATGTAAATAAGGAAGTAGACGCACGGGAAAATACATGTTCGTTTCTCAAGACCTTTTAGACATATTTTTTATATTAAAGTGAAGTAGACTTAAACATACTTGACGTCTATGAAAATAGCTTTCCTTTCGGCACTTTGTTTTCGATTCGCCAGCAAAAATAATATTTTTATTGATAACATATGATATTACTAAATGAAATTATTGTAGGGAAATGTTGAAGTAAATTCGTAACAATGTGTATAATGTATATTAAAGTTTGGAAATTACTTTTGGTTCTTATTTACCAATGAAGTATTTTTCAGCAATATTATTAATTATGGGAATTTTCTTAAAAAACATAAGTTGAATGAAATTTTTCACTGAACACACGTCACAATAGTGGCAAATATTTTGTCGATTCATAGTATGGAAAAGACCTTTTGGTTGACGTGTGTGATACATTCATATATTGTGGCATCAAGACCTTATTATTAGCTGAATCTGAATTTGAATTTTTTTACAATTATTGAAATCGTTAGCACTTTGTATAATATTCAAAATAGTTTGTGAAACATTACAAGTTTAAAACGTTAGATTCTCAACCCTTTTGTCATGGTAACTAATCAAATCAAAAAGTTGCGAATACTGACCTGTTGAAAAATATACACATATATATATATATATATATGTTTGATGATTTTTTTTGTCTTATTTTGTGCAAGGCTGTTCTGCATTTTGCAATATGGTTGTGTAAATTGTCAATAAAAATCCGAAATTAATTTGGTAGTTTCGTTCTGAGTTGTTTTTGCACAAAAACGAAACAATATACTCTATAGCTGTTACTTGGAAAAGTTCGCTTTTAGATTCCCAATCGTATCAAAGTCATAGCAGTTGGGTAATCGATATGCTAGGAACAAAGTTGAGTTGGGTCCAGTTGAAGATGATATGAAGGAGTCCGTTTACTTTATCCATGCTGGAAGTAAATGAAAAGTAAATATAGGAAACGGTACCTTACATCCACATCCCTGGGACGATACTCGATAACCCTCTAGGTACATCGTTTCCTCACCAGATTGTGGAACATAGCGTATTATACGTAATAGGTTATGTATAATCAATTAATCATATAAAGTTCAATAATTCCAATTCCAGTACAAATTGAATACTTGATTTTTTTTGTCTAGTTATTATTTATTTCATATAAATGTTTGTGTGTATATTTGCAAGTTTATCAATCATCATAGCAAAAATTTGTTTTATCTAACTTGAGCGTCATTATATATCCTAGATTCCATTTTTCATTAAATTTGAATGATGACAACACAAATCAACCAACAGCCAATTGCGGTCGACGAAAAATATCTTGAATGAAATTTTCTGATTCAATCGGCAGTTTTTACTAAAACATCGGGATTCGGACCTTTTAAATGTTGTTTTACATTCAAAATTTAATTTGTGTGGCAAAAGGATGACGTATCAAGTGTGGATCATGTATCAAGTGTGGACATTTTATATAGTTTCTCTCATAATCCCGTTTAAAGCGATAGGTAAAGGAAAAATAATATTAAAGTATAAATAAATTTAATATCCAAATCATCCACTGCTAAAAATACAGAATCTAAAATATTTCAGCAGAACAAGGTGCTCCATCAAAAATATATATCGTATCGTTTAATTAAATAGAATAATATATATTGAATTAAGGCTGATGATCACTATTGAAAATCCTGTAAAATTTGTGGGAATTCTCGGATACTTTCTCAATGTACTCAATCGAAACAACTGCGCTATTTAACATTTATTTGTCAACACACAGTTTGGTGATCCATCGGTGGATTGGATGTCTTTATTTTAAGAGCAGTGTTGGATAGGCGTTAAATTATAAATCGTTTCAATTACAAATTACAGTCCCAATTACAATTGAGATGATATTAATATGAAAACTTGATGGGGGTATTTTTTGAAAATTGATACTTTATTTCACTTTCTAGATACTGTATCTCACAATATACCACGCAAATCCATTCTCATTGATAATCGCTCGCGTCCGCACCATTTTGGGTCCGAAATAATTCACTGCTTTTGTCATCTTGCCATTAAAAGAAAACGAATAAAGTACTTTAATGTGGTGTTGGTGTCGCTTTACACTTAAATTCAGAGATTGGGATTAACGCCATAAAACGTCAACAAGCCTATATAACTCGTGCTGATTAAATAAAGATTTCTTCCAATTGTTTCAATTTATTACCGCGAGACCCGACTATATTAATTAATTGAAATATTTATCAAAACATTGACTTGTATAAAATGGCATCTTTCGGACGTTTAAAGTATGGTTGTTGATAAAATTTGTGGAACCAAACACGTCTTGTGGCAATATTGCATTTGCACATGCCTTGGTTGACGGTACGTAACATACATATTAAATTTCTTTGACATGGCGTAACAAGTCTATAAATAGCTCTTGGAGACAGACATTTTGAACCGAAATTACCGTAATACGCCGTATGTTCATATCTTGAAATAAGATACAATAGAGAATGCGTTGCCACTGAAGCGTACGGGATAAGAACGGGGAAATTTACTAACGTATGGGGTGATGTTTACGGTGTTACGTCCAATTTCAAATATGTACAACGCAATTTCAGCTGCTAGAGTAAGAGATAGAATATTTCAGGATAAATTCCCCATTACAAATTATTTCGAATGCCATACCATGGAAATATCTAATTTTATTAGTATACACCCCAAGTCTGATGGTGACGGTTTTTATGAGGAATTTTTTAAAGATAAATTGCTCGAAGCAAGGTTACACGCTCTCAGATGTGAAGAACGTATCTTCAATCGGAATTACGTGCGACTACTGGAGGAAACTTAATAGATTAAAGGTGATGTAATACACGCCAGCAATAAAACTAAAAACGATATGATATTATCATGTCGATTCGCCGTCGCATTTACCATCTTGCCAAATGATCTAATCTGATTACGATTGTAACGGATTTATGTTCAATGTGTTCGAAAATTGGTTTTGCAGTGTAGATACCGTGTTTTAATTTTTCATAAGAATTTTATGTATTTTATGCTATGTCGCCAATTATATAATGATCTTTACAATAAATAATAATCTTTTACTTGCTAATTGTTGATTGTGCGCAAAGTAAGCTTACATTTACAATGCAACAATTATGGTCTATACTTTCACATAACTTGGTGCCACTCGGACTCGAATATATATTACAGAAAAATTTGAAACTTGCATCCAAAATAATGCATTTTGTTTAGTTGTGCGTAGCAAGTGAAAGTATAAATTTAGGGGAAATCTGGCAAAAGAAATTTTGCTGCGGAATGTAACTGCAATCGTATCTAATCAAGTGGTTATGTTGTGTCTAGATGGAAAGTCCGGAACTTTTTATTTCCAGTTAACCTAAATAGTCTATTATTCAAAGACTTGATGAAAAAAATTTAAAACGATAATTTGTGATATTTAAAAAAGACCCCCAAATTTTTGAAAGCAGCATAATGCGAAATATCATATTTTTACAAATATAATGTTTCAAACAACAATCTTACTTAATTAATAGATTGTTTTTGTGAGTTACTATTTCATGTTCTCTTTTATAATAAAAATATTAATTGTATTTTTGTTTAAATCTGCTCAATGAAATGAACAATGTCTTGTTAAGAAAGTGGCAAAGAATACTAATTTTTTGATACATCGTTGGTACGATAGAGTGGTTATAAAATGTACAAAACTAGATTTAATGTTATATTTGTCTTGGCATATGATCTGCCTGAAATGAGCTACAGTAATCATTTTCTGATGAAGCATGCAATGAAAAGTATCAAGCTTATGTATTAATATTTTATTATAATCCAACCCAAATGAACAAAACAGGGAAAATTTCAATAAACTTCGTCAATTGAACAGCCGAGTAATTCAAATCTGATTCCAGGATGATTCTTCCAGTCAAGAAGAACGACTTTGACAAAACGGACTTTATATAAATCATCAAATATTATTCTTTTGTGAGAAGTTGAATCGTGATTTCCCTCAAAGGCCTGAAAAACATTTCTGCTTTAAAGATGTTATGTATAAACGTTCGCACAAAAATAGTATCGGGCACTTTGCCTCTTTTTAGCTTTGGCTTTGAAGTAAGCATACAAGCATTTTTAAGTATATTTGTAGAGCAGATACCAGGAATGAAAGCAAAATGATTTCAAGTCTTGGGTTTTACAAATTTTGTTCTGATTAATTGGGCATAAAAGGAAAAGTTTTTTTTCAGACGATTGTCTCATGTACTGACAAAAAATACCCTCTATTCAACACTCAATGCCAAAACTTTTCAACCTCTTGCTTCTCTGTGAACCTTGTGGGCAACTTTTGTTATCTATATTACATTTAACGATACAACAAAAATATATCATATTGCAAAAAATTTTGATGATATGCATTGTCTGTAGTTTTTTAAAAAGTAAAATTTAAAACCACACACCTCTTCAATTGTTTTCCATACAATATTGTCCAGACTATATTTTACTTGGAATAATTCTGTGTAAACGGGGTATCGATAATAATTTCCCCCTGAAAGAAAGATTGAAACTTGATAAAAAAAAATTATCCATTTCATTGTTAAACCAAAAAAAAATGAAACAGAAAATGAAAGCAAGCATATGCAAAGAGTACAAATGTATAAAAGAAGAAACAAAAATGCAAGTAAAAAGATTTATTATACATTACTGTTGTCTCTAATCCACTGGGAAACCCCAATTGCAGATATCGGGTTCATTTTATATTATTCACCTTCAAAAGTCCCACCCCCAAAGTATAGAGAATTTGTGAGATTTTTATCCATACATCAAGTAGCTTCGTTTAGAGATTTGTTCCATGCAATTATGGAATATCGTGGATAATTAGGTTGGTAGTATAGGAACGAAGTGAAAAGTTCAGAACACAGAAAATCAGTTAAAATGGATATATATACCGGAGCGACAATTTCTGTTCATAATAGAATGTTACAAAATTTTCTATTTATAGGATGTGATTTTATTCTTTCTGGGAAGTTAATACCTCATATTTCAAATAGGTAATAAAGAATACTCACTAAGTATTTGAGCAGTAATTTTGTGGAAGAATACCACAGGCTGATAAGAGACAGAGTTTCAGTGACAATGATTTTTTTCAACATTGCAAACAAAAGATATACCTTGAACGATGATTCCATTTATGTATTGTTCTATTAGCAGATCAACCGTTATCCAAGGTTCAAGATCGTTCTTATCAGCCATCCATAAATTAAAGTCGGCGTATTTATTTCTCGGTCCATCCAATCTTCCAAACCGGGGCCATGCTGCTGTGTAAGAGGAACATCGATCACAATTCAATCCGTGGACGGAGGAGGCAGTGATTTGATCGTCGTGAATATAAAAACTCTCCATTCCTAATTCATTGCAACAATCTTAAAATGAAAATAGCTTTTCTAATGAACTTGCAATTTTATATAAATATTAACTTTAGCTTTTATAAATATCAGTTCAATCAACGTTATAATAAAACGCAATTTCCAACACTAATTACTGTCTGCGAATTACGGTTTGCAACAATGTACTTTGAGTCACCTTGGGAGAAATGACAAGATAGCCGAGAAACAAATAGTAAAATAACTTTAATAATCCAAAAAGATATGTTCAAGAAATTATGTTTGTACGAAAATATCACAAACGAAACGTCTAAATCGGAGCGCACCGCAAAACTTTACAGTAGCTTCTCAAAAGTCGAGGCGAAAGAGGTATATTTACAAGCACCCTTGTCTTGAAAGAAAATGCAGACCTACTTACCACAAGAAGAACAACCATATAGTTCTATTCTTACGGCTGGTCTAATGTGATACTTTTTAGGGTGTATTCGGAAGTAACAGCCTTCTACATATTGTTTGAATATAATTTTTGAAGACTTCATTGCATTGGTATTTCCTTCATATATTTCATCATGCTTGTTCCATTTATTTCCATCTTTGCTCGTGGAAATAGAAAATTCGGTTGTCCAGCTATTGTATCTGTTCCAATTTGCTCCCTAAATCAAGTAGTATTTGAATGTAGGCTAAAAAAAAGGGAAAAGTTTTAAGGTAAAATTTTAACACTTACTTGAATAGAAATACCAGTAATACGCATCGAGTCCAAAAACATAATTTGTAACCATGGATTTTTGTCATCATCTCGCGGAACCCAACTACCACCCCTGTGAATAAAGGAAAAAGAAGCTCATTTATTTCACTTTTATGCATACTTAAGAGTACATTTTATCTAACATTGTAACATAAATCTATATTTGAACAGATTTCTTATAAACCTAATACCCAGTTCCTTAAACGCGCAATGGGTACCACCGAGAGAATCACGGTTGAGGTTGGCAACCGACCGATCTCAAATTTAGCCTTATTACTTTTTAAATAAGCAATAATTTCAAAACCCAAATATATCATGTAGCGGGTACGTTTCAGTTTGCTCTTTTAAATTGATTATTTGATTCCCGTTCACGAAATCGGTATGTAGTCTACATCTTGTTTTTTTCTTCTTACATTTGAATAACTGTTTCACCAAAGATGATTGAAAATAAGAAATTCGTACTAACCATCCACGTTGGTTGAGCCTTCCGCGAGTAGCAAGATACGATATGTACCAAGGCATACCAGACTGATATTCCGAAGAAGCAGTTATTTGAGAATCAGATATGAAATGTGATTCAAGACCAAGTGGAGTAATGCATTCTGAATTGTATCAAAATATATATAACTGTGCGAACTTCAGATACGCTAAACTAAACAGAGCATGGTGGAAACATAAAAATGAGCGGTCGGCCTACTTGATACAATATATCTACAGAGACTCTCGAATAAGTTTCTTATCTAAAATTTCCAATTTGTTAAATTAGAAATCAGAACCTTGGGTTTAGCTGATCGATAACAAGATTTGGTTCTTCGCGGCTTCCCTTCCCCAGTAAAACTATAAATATCATTTCCTCGTAAATTGTGTACGATTTTTTTTACTGATTGGAAAAATTGGAAAATTAAACTTGACCTGACCTATTACTGCTAGAAAACAATCGCTTACTTTTTTGGCAAATATCGCCAACATAGCCTTGTGGACATTCGCAACGAAAATTACAAATTTGGTTGACACATATACCTCCGTTTGTACAAGGATTATTCTCACATTCGTCTGAAATGAAAACAAAAAAGACTTTTTATATCCCAAAGAATCAGTGAATAAAACGGCGACCCGACCAGACATGATTAAAATTTTGATTAATATATAATCCGCTCGACCTGCTCGAGTTAAACGAAAAGGGTACCAAATATTAAGTTATGTTAACTGTAGCTGTAATGTACAGTATAATATCAACCAGTATTTCAAAAACAAACGTATTTTCACACACCAACAGATACCATAGTTTAATTCTATATCTAGGAATAAAAAAATTGTGAAAGGATGCAAATAAAACTTAATATAATTACTTATATCAATTTCACAATTCTTTCCTGTGTATCCACACATACAATCACATATATATTCAGTTCCAACAACTGATTCACAAATTCCATCATGTTGACATGGACTGGACATGCACGGATCATCAAGATCCAAGGTAAATCTAAACAAAGGTCAACAAAATTTCGGTATTGTTTAATTGATTGTATATGAAATAATACATTTGACACAACCAACCTACACAGTGAAGCATACGCGCTTTTCGCAGTGTCAACTTCCGCGGTAGAATTTGCTCTTAAAACATCTTCTATGCATTGCAGTAGAATTATATCTTGATTGTTTCCAAGACCTTCTTTGCAGACTTTATTCTGGAACAAATTTTCTAGATGTATTTGGCATGCTTTCTTAGCCCAACTGGTTTGAGTGTCATCAGCATATGAAAAGTATGTGAAATCCAGTAAGCTGAAAATATAAAGTGGTACAAAATGAGTTAGAAAGATTTTATTAATGTTGAAACGTTTGGAAAAAGTCAAATATTGTGCAATGTGCCGGTAACAATGTAGTAGACTAGCATACGCTCCTTTATTGTTACAAACCCAACTGCAAGGTATTGTCTCAATAGATACTTTTCTACAAATTTTCAGTGTTTGGTCAATTGTGTTTATTAGACCTTTATATATGTTTTTAAAATATGGAATATGTGAAACAGGGTATATTTACCTGTTGAATTCACATGAATCTGAGAATTGTTGGCATAATGGAATCACAGGGGCGTTTGAAGTTGTCCAAGAGATTATTCGATCTTGTTTCAAGAATTCGGAGTTTTCCGTTTTTATATGAATATCAGGACCGCCTGTTTGCAATATTGGATTAAATTATTGATGCTTTATTAGTTACGATGTGATTTTATTGAATCGTTGATAAATCATATAAAGACGATACAGTTTATGACAAGCAGCGTCAGGTATAATTTCTTGAACCCCGAGTTTTGAGTAAAGTTTGAATCCCAGAATAGTCACAAGTCGTAGAGTATTTTATAGAAAGGAATAAATATGAGACTTGAAACTTTCATCTTGTACCCGGCCAATATAGTATTTTACAGCAAACCAGGATATACTCTTGTATTAACAATATTTACTCGGAATCAACACGGCCTATTTTACGTTATTGCTACAACAAGCAAGTCAATTTTCAATTTTTTCAATACAACACTAGACAATATCGTATTTTAAATTTTCTAATAAAAGCCCCTTTTGTTAAAACATATAACAGCATTTCATAAACGATTCATGTCAAATCTGCCATTCAACAAAGTTTTTGATATCGTTGTTGTATAAATAGATATGAAATCAATTATTGAAAATATTTAACAAATAACGGTAATGAGTACATATGGTATTGATCAGTATACTGATATACATATAATGCTTACCGGGTATTAAGTTATGTATGATGTCTCCGTGACCTTCATCAAAATTCCATAGGGACAATAGATTTGGTTTGTATGAGTTTTGATCATCTTGTATACTGTTACCTCCAAAATTAATTCCAAAATTTTGTAAGGTTTGAAACTTAGTTAAAACCCTATCCCATATTCTGATTTCATCTATTGTTCCACTGAAACCAATCAGATCATTTGACGGGGTTTGATTTGTATCTGCAAGAAGAAGAAAACCAATATATCACTTCAAGAATAAATTAATACCTCGTAAATTTTGCTATTTTTTCCTGTATCCATGCATCATGAACCAGCATGCGCAAGGAAGAATTACGACGTTGCACAACCATATTATAATTGGGTCATATTTTAAGAGCACATTCAATAAAAGGTACTTTTTCAACCTTACATATATATACCTCATTGTTACAGAGAGCCGTGCACATACATACCTTCGCTTCCTCCGCCTATTGTGATATATCCAGAAGGTGTGAAGCAATCTATCCCAGTAAATATGTTACTTTCATAAACGATTCCCGTTCTAGTTGTATAATAAAACCAAATGTATTTGCCAACATCTTTACAATTTATTGATAACATTATCCAATCAGAACTTGCTTCGTCTTTGAGTATACCAGTTTCCGTCCAATTCTGACCGTTAATTCGAATTTTGATGATGCTCGCGTCAAAGGAAAGATCAAATTTACCTCCTTTATCAGAACCTACAAAATAATACACAAATTTTTGGGTAATATGTTTCTCATGAAAGGATAAGATGAGATCGTTTCGTAATATTGGTGGAGAAATCGTCGTCAAATAAAAAAGAGAAGAGAAATTGTCTCAAAAATTTTTTTGGCGCTCTCATATCAGTTACATTATAATTTAGTCATAATTCTGTAGACATTATGTTTTTTATACAGTTATTCCGTAAATCTTTTTTGTTGCATTTTTCTGTTTGTTTGGTATTTTGTGATAGAAGCAAATAAAACTTGGGATTATCAACGAAGGTTGGAGTGACGTATGAAAATAAATATATGTAAAAGTTGATAAATATAAAAAACTTTATTTTGTCACCTGAATGATAGGAAAAGAAATTTCCATCAGATTCTTTCTTAACATACATTTCATAAGTGATTCCATCATTGTTTCTCGATTTCACATAGTTTTCTATTTTACCGGAGTTTACCAAAATGTAGCCGCCTTTTTTCTTTGTTTCTAATCCCTGATGTTGGGCGTGGATTCTAATAATTATTGTATCAAGTGATTGTTAGTCAATATTAAACGTTAAGCCAAGAAACATCCAGTACCGTCAACAAATTTCCTTGATTCGTAATTAATATCTGCACAAGTGTTCTTAAAAGTGCTTTTTATTTTTCTGAATCTTAAATTGAAAATACCTCAAACTATTTCCAGCAAAAGTAAGTGTTCTCGACTCCACATCGCCATTTTCTTTGTTGTAAAAAAAACCTGATTTTTCTTTGGCTGATAGTGAGCACGATATAACGATATCTTTGAGAATGTTACGACGTGAACCGTTTTCAAACTTATTAACATTTAAATTACTCAATGTATAGTTTCCATTGATATTTGCAAATTTCACGTTGCCTTTGTCACATGTGACGTATAGAGCCAGTCTATTGTTAACCATATGAATCCTGACATATTTGCAGAATAACTTTTTTCTTGATGTAATTTTCTTCGAATTACTTGCTTCCAATTCAATCCACGAATCTGAAATCCTCCATAACAAAACATCGTGATTGATGGGGATGCCCTGTTCTTTCCCAATTTTAATATCCACTGATTTGCCACCAATTTTAATGATTGGTTTGGAAGCGTTCAATTGATGCATCAATAGTGATATCAAGCCCATTGAATAGTATCCAAATTTGATCAATGTAGAATCGCAATTCGCCTCGAATATCTGAACGTGGAATCTAAATATGTTTCAATGTTGCGAATAATTAGTTTGTGATTTTTGCACAGCCAGTCACGTCGCTGCTTTCCGCGACATTTTTCTGACACAATGTCATAACAATTTCTGAGTTGAGTGGAAGGTATGCTGTAAGGCAGGGGTCGGCAACCTTTTGTCGCTCGCGGGCCAAAATCGAAGGTTGCAAGTCATTGGGGGACCGCACATGTTTTTAGAAAAAAAAATTAAAAATTGAATGGATGACCAATGAATCACATTTTATCACACAGATCAGAAGTTAGCTTTTAAGCAGGGCGCGAAGACTGACTATTTGAATATTTTTGCACAATTCAATCATTCGCACTTAGCATCAACTTTTCTGCTTTTTGTTGCCATTTGTCTAAATTATAATTAAATTATAGGCTCATTGAACGAGTTATTGTGAATTATATACTTGGTACGTTATAATATAATTTAGTCTACACGTAAATTCTTTTGCGTAAAGAACATAATCGACAAAACAGCTATAATTTGTTACTATAATTCAGTGAAGCGTCGCGGGTCGGATTATATTGCTCCGCGGGCCGGATCCGACCGGGGGCCGTAGGTTGCCGACCCCTGCTGTAAGGTATTGCTGTAACGATATTTCTGCGCATTTTCCAACAAGGGAAAAGCTGGATTACTTCGTTGACATATATATTCCGAGTTGATTTATGGTCGAATATTTTATGATGATCAATTGATGATAATTAAACAACTAACTATAAATTAGCAGTCAGGTATAAAAAAAGATAATCAGATTCTTATTTGATAAGTTGTTCAAGTTTAGGGAAAAAATTGAAAGGAATTTTAATAGAAACCACATAGATCGGGCAAATCCAGTAATAACCTAGAAAATAAATTTGTTAGAATACACAACTTACTCAATCACGGTTGTATTTGCAGCAAGTTTCCTTATGTTGGAATTGAGTTTTGAGCATTGTACACTCATTTTTTAAGGGAATGATAATGAATTTTTATGAAATGAGTCACATATATAGATGGAGATTAACGATCTCTATATAGTGATAGAACAAATAATAGCTAACTAGTTTACTTTTTAAGAAGTCATTTACAGTAATATTCATCATATTTAAAGCTTACCTGCCTGACATACACAACTAAAAGTTCGACTTCAACAAATTTGAATTCACCGTAAATTGGTAGATCGTATACAACTCCATCAAATGTAGTATAGTGACCATACCCATACCCTGATGATGTCACATATTTTAATTTTTTATTGAGTTCCAAAATATACAAGCTGCAATCTTGCCCGACATATGCAAGAGCACATCTAGTACAATTGCTCGTGAAATCATAATTCATTGGACAAGAGCACTTTCCAGTTGTTTGATCACAAACGCCAACGCCTCCACATGGACGATCAACTCCTCCTGGACAAATATATGTACATGCGTTGCCGAACCAACCCCGGTCGCAAATGCATTTGCCTGAAATAAGATAAAGAGTAATGAGGGGAAAATTGAAGCTAAAATTTTTTTATTTTATTTGTCATACCCTCTTTAGAAGTCTTCCCTGCGTAGCATGGATGGTCAGCATCTTGATGACACAAAGGTGGTGCCATGTCTCGAGGCATCGTGTCACAGACGAGATGTATCGGTGAAAAACTCGAGCACAGAGACTTTTGACAATAATTAGCATACTGTTTAAGTGAATTCACCGCTTCATACACATCCCCACTTCTGATACAGTCATTCAAACACGTTATAAAGTAATACTGTAGCACAGCAGGAGCAAGCTTATTGCCACATTGAGATAAAATGCCGTCGTGGTAAATAATATCCTGGCACATTGATTCTGCTTCGTATGAAAATGTAATGTTTGGTTCGTAATATTTCGTGGCAAATTGCGCTCTTTTTGAACTTTTAGGGCATATTTCCCAAGTTGGTGCTGATTCGTCATATCCAACCAAATACAAGTAGTTTTCAGAAGTCAAATCAGCAGCAACATGACCTTGACCTAAACATATGAAGAAAGAAACTATGTTAAATAGGGTTTGTAATTTGCAACTTTGTATTGTTCAATATTTGCATTTGTGTGCGCCTGTCAAGCAATAACTTTTGTCTCGTTATCTAATCCAGCAAAGTGTTGCAAAATAGTTGTAAAGTGATCCGTGATATATACTTTTGCACGTAATGATTTAGTATTTCACTGATCTTATTTACCAAATACTTTTGTTCCCCTAGTATAATTTAAGGTCGTTCGTAAATTCAATAATAAGCCAAATCTTATTTATTTATACAAGTAGCAAATTTGCGGTTTACGGAGGTGTCTTTCAGTTTGAATATACAAATTTCACCTTCAGAAAAATGAAAAATCGAAAATATATCTTCGTTATTTTCCTGATTGCTGTTGCTCTCGTCAGAAATCACATCTAGAGCCTTTTTCCATATTTTAATTTCGTCAATCCAAAGTTGTATTTCTTTTGAATAAAATCTATTTTGGTTTATTTGATTCAAATCTGTTCCAAATGATATCAAATTGATATCATTTTTCGAAACAGAGTCGCCGATATCGTTTATATCTACTCCTCGACAAATTGTATCCCCATTTTCTCCAAGAGTATAGAGCACGAGCTGAAATATTAGAAAATATAAACATCTTGTTATCAGAATTTTGTAGACATTAAACGATATCTAACCAACAAAGATAACTGATTCAGTGAATTAACAAGATCGAATAGAACATGGGGGACAAAATACAGAAAAAACAAGCAATGAAATATTATAATATATTCAATATTTGAAGGTTTCTGGCAGTTAGACACTAAAGTCTATAGATGGAGCAAGTATTTTTATTTTGATATGTATCTTAAATACGCACTCATATCGTAATGAGAAGATCTACACGTTTTATGTGTACAATGAAGTTTAGTACGAATCATTAGTTTGTGGTAATATTCAAATATACGGTGTGGAACATCAAATAAAAACCTGCTGCGAGTTATCAACTTAGAAATTTTTCATGCCACACTGTAGCACCAAAATATCACAAACCTGAATAAACGATTCAGTTTTCTTCCATACGATAGCAGCGTGGTACCAAATCAAAAATCTCATCGGGTGTTCGAAAGAAACACGCTTATCCTTCAATCCAAGTTTTTCAGTAATTACTAATGTAATCATTCCTGGGACGGGATTTATTCCATTTGTAGAATTAACACAGGCTTGTAGACGTAATTTAAATGCTGCACATTTATAGGTAAATATATTCAGGCAGTTAGGTAATGGAACACGCAGTTTGAAGTAGAACTCGATTGTAATGTCTCCTGGCGGCAAGGACAAGTTCTGAACACATATATATTTCATTATTTAATAGTGTTAATTCATGTCCAAACGATTTTCCACCATTTGGATGGTATTACTGTAGATATATTTATATATATACATCAGCGGGATGCAAATTTTTAAAAACAGATTATCTTTTGTGTCGGGCCGAAAGTCATGCCAAAGGCAAACAAAAACAAAACAAGAACGGGTATAAATACTTGAAAAGTTAAATAATTTAAACGTTGTGGAATGCACATTGTAAATTTGGTACAATAAAAAGGGGTGTGCAACCTTTAATACAGAAGAGCCAGATACAAATAACTGGGTGAAACTTTGGTCCGTCCCTTCATTTAACATAGGCTTTCTAGTAGTTGCAAGCACAAATATTTTGGTTACTGATTTTATTACATGCTTTGTTCGCTTCGAACTTTGCTGTTAAACCATCATAGACCTATATAATTTTTAATTTGAAATCAGAATTAGGATTAGAAATAAACTAAACTTGTTTCGCGGACCATTCAAAAATTGCACTTCTCCGTGGGCTGCACAATTTTGAGTGGTCATTGTGCCCGCGGGCCGCAAGTTGCACCCTTCTGCATTAAACCATCCATCTGTTTACAAATGTGTGTTACATGATTTGGAATTTTCAGATGACTGCTTTTATTCAAAAAATTTGCAAAATTCTGATACATGAGATAAACTTGTCACCTTGGATAAAACAGAACCTCTTCCTTCAATCTTTGTGCAGTGGTCAACACCATCCGCAACTGTTTCAGGTAATTTACGATGTGGACTTATGCATTTTTCTCTCAAATCGTTCATGACCTGATTACCCCATAATTCAGAAATTTTTCTCTTTTCTCCTGGAATACTTTGGACGACTGCGCTCTGTAAAAATTGTCGAATTAGTTAAAATAATATAACTACATCGCTAAATTTCACCAAAAGCTTTGATATTCAATCCAGAGATTCAGTCAGCATTAATTTTTAGGCTCATTTTATTATATGTTAATGGCATATGCGATATGCAATCATTCTTACAAACCATCTATATAAACCTCAGATATCTAAGATTCGGCGATACATCGCGCTTAGTCATGCAGTCGCCCTCACCATAACTTAAAATAGAAAAAGGGTATACAAATCACAAGCCACTCACCATTGTCACTATTCCGATTAGAACCACAAAACAGCATTTGAATATTACAACTAACGAAAACATCACTTTAAACCTATTGAATGTTACCTGCAACTATTTTCTACACAAAGTTACGTTTGTTTTTATGGGGAACTCCCATGAATCAATGGATTAAGAATTATCACATAGCCCGGGGTGAAAACGAAGCAGAGTACAAAATGTACATTTTCGTAGATTTTTCGTTGGTATTCGTATTAAATTTAAGCATCCATGAATATAACTTTGATCATGGTTTGGTTTTCTCTTTTGGATTAAAATATTTAGCATAGTTACAGAGATGTGGTCAATCACGATGAAAGAAACAAAACAAATATATCAAAGAGATTTTTTTCATCCGAGTTTGATACTATTTTGATTATGAATGATCATGTTACTTTCTTTTCGTCCTTGATCAAGGCAACAAAACAGAAGCAATTAAAATGAGGAACGAATCCAATATCACCTATTGTCCTGTGTTATTGACCCAGGCAATGCGAATTCAACCTGATCACTTTCAAGCTCATACGACCATTCTTAAGCAGATAATAGAGAAAGTTATCTGTTCCGAACAAGTTAAGTGCTTCAAAAGCCTTTTTTGCTATAATAAATATAATTTGAATTTCAAGTTCCTAAAAAAGTAAGTTACGCATTTTTGAATGTTATCCAACAATCCGACGAATAAAAGTACTGCAAATAACTGAACGGCTTCTCATATTTACTGATCGATAATACAATATATCCGAGCTATTGACAAAACAATGTTGAGTCGCTGTGGGAGATCATTATTTTTACATAATATCTAGCATCTATATAATATTAATCATAACATAACTTAAGTTATTGATACATACTTCAACTAGTACATAATGACATTGAATATTTGATTAATGCTTCGCTTCCTAATTTGAGAATTCAAATCGTAATTAAAAATATTGTCACTCCATTTTCAGAGTTCATTCGGTGTGATGTACAGTACACGATACATCTTCTGAGGGCTCCGTGCAGGACGAATACACATAAATTAGATATGGACTTGAACAAACTTTTGGAGAGAATAAATTATGTTGGATCTATCGACGAAGTGAGTCTTAAGCTGTTGAATGAACTTTGTATATCGATTGTGTCTTCAATACCTTACGAGACTTTGGATAACTTTGGAGGCAAACAGCAACAGTTTGGCTTACAGATCATTTATGATAAAATTGTAAACGACCATAGAGGGGGCAATTGCATTGATCTCAACATTATACTTCACTGGATGTTGTCAAAAATAGGATTCAATGTGGAAATGTGTATAAGTTATGGTATAGACAAAAAAAGTAACAGTTTCATAGAGAATAGCCCACATATGTGTTTGCTTGTGACTTTTGATGACGGTCAGCGTTGGCTAACAGACGTAGGTTTTGGTGGAATGGGATTTGTATTCCCGCTTGAAATGAACCAACTCGCAGTGGAACAGTATCAACCAAATGGAATATATAGGATACGCAGATATGATGATGACATTTTCTTCGCGGAGAAAAAACGACAAACGCAATTAGATTTACATGGAAGTGTCATCTCATCCCGACGCTTCTCAACAAACCGGGCAGATAGCGAATGGAATATACTTTATGGATTCTCGACAAAGGCAATGCAACTAGAAGACATACGAAAAATTTATTTATTACCGGGAAGAGAGCATGCTTTTACAAGTGTCAACTGCGTGGCAATATTGCAAGACACACATCACAGAAGATTTCTAACTGGAAGTACTTTTATAAAGAAACAATACATCGACCCAATGACGATACAAGTTGTCCATTTACGTCAGTTAGATAAAAATGAACTGAATAAAATTCTTCAGTCTGAATTCGGAATTGTCCTAAACTTTGAGCTTCGGCCCAGAAGCGAACTTACATGGATTGCGGGATGAATGTAATCTCGATCAGTGCGCTGAATTGATATTAAACTACTAACTGATTTCCGTTTCCTGATAATTTATGTAGGTACATGTCCTGTGCTAGCGCAGAATGTTTAACTTTAAATTAAGCGATTGACGTACTTGTTTATTGTCTATACTATAGTAACCTACGATATTTGGATATAGACAATATAGACAATAAATATATATATTAATCTTAACACAAACAGTATTTCTGACATTTTTTTATAATGTATGGTGGGCGAGGATCACCATATGGAATTAACCTGATTTTTAAACCAGTGTAACTTGTGTTGAAACGTGGATTCCCAAGGAACCGTATCAATGTGTGACCAAGCTTAAATATTATGACGTCTCCACAGGACTTATAATGCCAATAAAACGCAAGTATGCAGAACCCTTGCTTGATGAATTAATTAAATGCTACATGCTATAACAGAGTTTCCCCAAAACATCCGTTCATAAATACCCCTTGAAAAATTTATAGATCGCTTGTGGTATCTCAAAATTTTGTTCTTATTTTGATGGCTAAGCCCAACTTGCTCGGATGCGCAACTTATTTTTTATAGCTAAGTAAATATATCTTTCAAATATGCTACGTAACTTTAAAATTGATTATTCTAATTGAATATAAAAATCTGTGTGAGATTAAGCAAAAATTACAATCAAACTAAAATGATGCCGGCTGTATCAATACTAGCTTTGGCGATGAATGAGCCATCATTTCAGCAACAAGCTCATTAGTGCCAGGTGAAACATTAGCAATATTTAATTTGATTGTTAAAAAAATCCCAGCAGTTCTTTAAAAAGCCTATATACACATTCAGTAACATTTTCCCTGGAAAATAGTAATTGATTGGCAAGACTAGTGCTCTGTTGATTTTATTTTCAATATGGAGTAGAGACGTGAATGTTGAGCAAAGGGGCCCAAACGCACATTTAACACATTTTTCTTGCTCGTTTTTTAATCCAACATTTTTTTGGTCTGTTTTCTGTCGTCTATTATTTAGCTAAGGAGTCTATAAACTTAAACTTTCGATGGTATGTTCAACTACGTCGTATTGAGAAGAATGGTTGTCGTTATGTTCACTTTCGCGGATGCCGTCTGCATTTTTGGGGGTTTGAATTACAAAAATCAAAACTATCTGTATGTTCAATTGGATTTCAATAAATGTGTAGTGAGAAAACTTTATAGAGAGAAACAGTGTTCTAGGATTTTTTGGTATATTAATGGATAACATAGACATCATTAATGATAGCACTAAGCGGCATGCAGAACAGCAAAATAGATATAAACTAGAGTGAGAGCTCAACAGTGACATCAATCGACATGAGTAAACGTTAAAAATTACATCATAAAAACCATCCTAAATAATGCAATCACAGAAATTAAAATTAAAATTACGACCAACCAGAAACGGTACAACGGTACAAGAAGGACAAACAACTCTTGATCGAGAGCAGCAATACGTCATCAACTTTTTCGGATAAAAAGCTGCATGAAAACACTAAATATGAAATGAAATCGGGCAACGACCTTGTTTATGCCAAATATCATTAGGTATTAGAAATAAGGTGTTAAAAGCATTGAAATTCATGGTGCCGTCCTATCAGTATGTACTCGCTACGTTGTTTACTTGTTCAAATTTTATGTTAATAAATGATTGTTAAGTGAATGATAGAATAAAACCATGCAGATAGGAACTCACATTCACTCCAGTATTATTATACATACGGAGTAAACGCAAACTGACTCCTTCAGAGGTCAATGGGCATACAATATATTGTGATGCCAAATATTCGTATATTGTAAAGTTGTACGATTCGATGAAAATATACTATTTTGCCCACCCTTGCGATCTGTAATCACGCCAGTAATCTAGCGAAACACGTGGTAGTCCAAACCCTGATGCAGCGAAACTTAATAAAATCATCATTAAGAAATTGACTTAACTGCTGCAAGGGTTCAGATCTACTGCTACGTAACAAAGGTAAAATGAAGTTATTGATTCATATACACATCGTTTGAAATAATAATAAAAATGAAGCATCTAGATTTAAAATAAATAAACTATGTAAAATATTCAATCATATATTAGTTAATATTTAATACAAATCTTTTAATTTTCGAGGCACACTTAGCAATTCGTCTTCGGGGACCGCTGGCTTAATGATTGAAGCCGGCATTGTTATGCAAGCACGCGCAAATCGAGTTTCGCGACCAAAATATTATTGTGTTGTTAGGCAAGCGCGATGATTCTACCCTGTTTCCCCCAAAATAAAACAAATCCCCCAAACATAAGAAAAGTGAAGACAATGTGTTACTTAAAAAAACACGGTATGGTGAATATTCACTCAGAATCGTGAGGTTTTTGTTTAAAACTAGTTTTAAGCGTTTCGAATCGAGTCTAAATATATAAATATATATAGTAGTTTTTTTAAAATTGGTGTTTTATTTGCGGCCCCTAAAAATCGTTTCGCGGCCCTTTACCGGGCCATTGAAATGGGTTGAAGTGGGGAATTCCCCATCTATATTTGTTTATATGGCTCATTCACCTCTACTATATAATCTCTGGTAAGCGGTGTTGGTTAGATATTTCATACGCTACCCACCGCCAAAATTAGTAATATCAAAACTCTAGAATTCTAACTTTGGAATTGGATATTAGAACCTCGGGTGTCGCTGCTCGATAATTGCAGCTTTGGTTCCCCGCGACATCCTTTCCCCAGTATAACTTTGTAAATTATCATTTTCTTGTAATTTGTGCTTGTGATTTTTTTACTGGTTAAAATTTTTTTTCTAAAAGCTGTAGCGCAATGCTCGTGTCAAACCACTCAAAAGGGAAATTTGGATACAGCCTCTCTCAACCTCTGGTACACTTATCAATTTGGGGAATATATAAATATTTTGAAATTATTTTTTTTATAACATTGAAATCAGTGTAATATTATTTAGTAATATATACTAGCAATTAGAGTTATTGATAAGTTGCCTAGCACGCATTGGCATGGATATACATGGTTCACATTTCACGGGAGCCTAGTTCCCTATTTCATGACATCATTAGTTTAGTCTCGGAATGGGTGTATGCTGCTTTGGGAAATGAAGACATATTCGTTTTCAACGAATCTTAAGTCTATGAAATACAACTATTAATACGTATTCCACATAATTTAATGAAATGTACACACGATAGTAGAATATCAGATATATGGGTGAATTCAAAGGCCATCGAACGATCAGTCCAAAGTTCATTCAACTCACGTAGATTAGCGGGCTATGAAATAAGCATTTCTGCAAAAGCAAACGCTATCACATGGGAATGTCGTTATGCAAAGTCCACTCCGAGAGATTATTTTTATAATTTCATCACTTATCATCAGTGATTAGATAGATATTTCCGTCCAGCTAAAAATTTGGTCACACAAACGTTTGATAAAAATAACTAAAATGTCAATAAGCAGGCTACATTTTCGATTATATTTATAAACTCCAATGCCTCCATTCAATTCCATACAGTATATTAACATACAGGTATTATGGAGTGTTTCACATCTTCGATTCGATTCACATCCACTGGTATGGGGAGCAAAAGACAGCACTGTTTTAGGTCAGTTTACTTCGTCAGGCCAAGGATCACATTATGTCATGTAAATTGATTTAATTCTGTCTTCTGTGCATGGAATTTTTGTATGTATGGAGTCAAATTTGCAAGAGTTGAATGATAGCGTACGATTTAGTTGCTTACTTTTCTACAGTCATAACAATTAACGTTTTATTAATTAACGACATTATTGTAGATATACTAGATACACGACTTCTATTTGCTCCTACGTCAAATATTTCGTACGACCCCGAAATCTGCTTGCATACAACCAATCCCCACCACTATTTAAACCATGAAAACAAATATTTACCCGTAATCTGAGTAAACACATTCGGGCTTAATTTTTTTGAAGGTAGACAATGAGTAGGACAAACTATGCAGATGTGCATATTAATTCAACTTACAAGCAGTGACAAGACATGAAATTGAAATTAAAACTTTGCACCGACAACGAAGATGATTGGAAGGATTTTATTAAACTTTGTGAAAAATCCTTCCACGACTCCACACCGTTTAGGAAGTCACATTCTGATTCCAACAAAAGGTAAGCATTTCTAAAGTTGTATATGAATCATCTATATCAGGTCAGCATGACAGATGTCGTTTACATTTATTATTTGATAACTGTACTTGGATCTATTCCGAGGGATCGTCAAAAACAACAATCGTAATATTATTATGTTCGAGCACTATTTGTTGCTAATTTCTTATAGATATGGGGTTTTGTAATTGTGTTAATGTTTTTATCGTAATATAGGAACCTCTTGGAAATAGAGTAGTACAAAAACTGCATACAAAAAGATCCGAAAATACGAAGACACGATAAGTGAGCGAAAATGAAAAAAATTCTTGAAATCTAGAGTTTTATAAAATCAGAACGAATGCACACATTTTAACAATAGTGTACAATATTTTATATAATCCTTCAACTGTGTATACGTCACGCTCGTCAGAAAATGAACTGTTTCTACAACTCATTGTCTAAGCATTCAAAGTCGAAGTTAGAATTGATCTTATTCAACATGTACGTCCTGAAATTGGGCTCAAACTTCAGAGCGATAGTTGGATTTTACGAGTCGAAATTCCAAAAGAGAAAAAGAAATATATTAAAAACAATTAGGTATTCTTAGTAAAAATTCGTTTTACCTGCGTCATGATCCTGAGTTGACTACAAAATGCTTCGAATTATAATAGAATTCGAAATAATTTAGAAGGATTTTGGATAGGTTAAATTCTACTTCTGATAAGACAGCAATGAGACGATTTTTACCTACAAACAAGGATTTCATATGCGAAGTTTTGGTCGCGGACTATTTTCTCACCGGCGAAAACGTTTGCGGACTCAAGCTGCGTTTATTGCAACCGTACTCTCTGTGAAGAAGCAATAAAACCAAACATAACAGAATTTTAACAAATTTCAAAATCGGAAATTCGCCGCAATTTACGCGTTCGTTAAAATAGTGTATAATGGCCTTTTCCGTCGCACAATATTCAATCCATGACAACGACGAGAGTTTAAAATGTCTTTCTATTTTAATTTAATCGTGGTAACTCGCGGTTGCGTCGACTTACGAAAAGATGAAAGCATTACTTCTTTAAAATTCCAGGACAATCTGCGAATATACTAATGTGAGAATATGTTACCAGATTATATTAAGTTTTGATACATATTTTTTGCGAACTTGCAAATTTGTTATCGCTGTTGAAAAAATCCTACTATCTGCTATAAATTTCCAGAAAGTACAACTTGATTTAGTACTCATTAAAAATATATTTAAAGTATATTAGTTAATCAAAAATATATATTCGTCGACTTGCTTTATTATTAATTTAATTGTGATCATTTTAATCTGCGGTTGTGTTGACGAAATAAAAGCAATACTAAGTAAATAACATGACAATCCGTGAACACAAAATGCGTAGTAAATTGCCCGATTATATTTTGTTTTGATTCCTATATTTGTGAATTCGACAAATCTGAAACAAAACTTACGGTGCTCCAGTACTGTAGCCTACATAGTGTTCTCCGTATTATTTTTAGTATTTTGTATTGCCGCTGTTCAATTTAGAAAATTTCGGTTGCCACCATTGACACCTACCAGAAAAATAATTATTCCTGGTTGTTTGCAGCCGCGAAAAACACCACCCAGGTAACTATCGACGCGCGTGCGGACTGGTATTTTCGTCGAAAATCCGCAAATGAGTTGTGAAATCCAATCGTTTGATTAGGCGACGCGCAAGTGACCTGTCACGCCACTTGTTGACAAATTTTCGAAACGCAAATTGCTATTTCAATAGTTGAATATTCGAATATATGCCAAGCTCTACTCGATAACCAGTAATTATTGACTGGATTAAGTTATGTGAAAAAACTTATTTTTTTATGTTTTATGTAAATTCTAACGTAAATCGTAACTTGGCTAATAGTTTGGTCTCGCAAAAACGTTTGCGGCCCGCAGTGAATTTCTGGCCCGTTGCGGACTCATTCAAACGCTCCGGAGACTCATTTGAGACCGCGGACTCGGGTTTGGAAACACTGGTCCAACCTAAGGTATCCAACAACACTTTACCCATTGGACTACCTGGAGTAAGGTAACAGAGTATGAACCGAATGACTTTAATCAGCGAGTCCGTCATATTTGGTTCTAACGCACTAACCCACAAATCATTTTGAATATGTGGATGTTTTTAATTTGTCATTTCAGTCTGAATTGTCAAATGAACAGGCTGGTCTGGTATGTGAAAAAATTCGCAATGCATTTGGAAAAGATGAAATGATTTATGGATGCTGTTGTCAATATGGCTTTGCACAGCACAAAGGAGATGATCAAAGTGAGATGCGAAATATCGATGTCGAAGGCTGGGAAGCAGGCCGAGGGTACATAAAATAGTCCAGACATGGTTTAGTTTTACCTTGCAATAAAAGTATTTTTGACAGACCAGCATTCCCATTTGTGGGGGCCCATATTCTGGTATACATACTAGAGATGTACCAATACCACTTTTTTCGCTGATACGGTTACCGAACCGATACCAACGAAAAAACGCTGATTTCAAAAAGCTGATATTTTGTAATTATCATCTTAATTGTGAGGGTCAGACGGAATAATATAGTTGTCTGCCAATTTTATTTACAGTGAACATTATTTCAACTTGAAAAAGAGTTATTTAAAAAAATGAAAAAATTATATTTAATTACGGGTGAAAGGAGGATACATACTAACGGTTTGCAGTACTCGAATCGCTAATTGCGTCGCAATATATTGCGCATGCAAAGGTCGGTATCATGTGGCGGTTCCGCTTTCGAGTAAGTATATCGGGTGATCAGGTCAGCTGCAGTACAGTACCGGTAGTCTACTGCGACAGATTGCATCCGCTCTACTTCGGCGTGATCTTCGAGTAAATATATTTAGACATCGCTCTCTTGTTTTAATATTAGGAATAAACCATCTTTTGTCTCTGGAACTTTGAAGCAGTGAGTTTTCAAACGATTATTCTCCATGAGATGTTTTTGTCTCTCGTTATTCCATCAATACCTACACATAATTAGCAATAGCCAACATAATAAATGTTAACATTCTTATGACATGGATCAAATCTGTATGGTGGCCAAATAGCTTACGTTGGAGAAAGCCATATAAGCTCCCTGACAATCTATGACATCAAAAGTCATTGCAATAATAGAAAAAATACGGCGTCCATACAAAATATGCATAGAATCACGAATCGAATAAAAAGTGCAATAGGACATTTAATATCACTTGGTTGCGAAGAGACTCTGTGGTTTAATCAAACCTAAATATTACAACATTCTCATTATTTAACAGTTTGCCAGTAAAAGAATGCAATTTAAAAATTCATAGATACCGTCGATTGTAATTATAATTCTGGTAATATTTGTAAAAGGAAATGAATATAATATAACAGTATCAAATCTGAATAACAGGAATAAACTATCTTATCTCTCTGTTTCATTGCGATTATTCTTTATGAAATTTACATTCTTTTACCTATATATACAAGTCTAAAGTCCGATTTCGGTACAGCCTACCCTTCATTATTACAGTGTCGTTGGCTATTTGTTTATATCGGGGGTGTGCAGCCTTTAATACAGCACGGCCAGGTACAAATACAGGGCGGAACCGCGGGCCGCACCTGTATTAAACACAGGCTTTCTAGTGGTGGCAGGCACAAAATGTAGATATGTATTGGTCATATGACACGCGTTGTTCGCTTCGCACAAGCTAGCTTTTTAAGGCATTGTAACATCATAATCACAGATAATGAATAGGGCGCGGGTATGGCTTTACAATATAATAGAATTGGAATTACTGACATGTACCAGATTAAACTAAATTGAAAACTCGTTTCACGGAACGCATATCATTCAAAATTGGCACTTCGCCGCGGGCCGCACAATTTTTCCGTGTGGTCCGCATTTGGTTTATATCATTGTCAACAGATTTATCTGAGCATTATCTGTTGCACGATTTAACAGATATTCATTCATATTTAACAATAAGTATAAAATAAAGCTTCATACAGTGCAGATCCTTTTAAGGGTAAAAATTAGTACACGCGGATATAACTCGAAATTGAAAAATTCATTTTGATTGTTATACGATTTTCCTAGGCTTCTGATCCTCAACAGTATTTGGTTCTTCCACCATTGATGTCAGGTTAGTTTTCTGCGAGGTTCCTATAAAGAAAAAGAGAAAGTAGAGACGAAATTTGAAAAAAACGTCTTAATCATTATTGCCAAAATTCAGCGAGGCACTTTATATGCTATCAATGCTCTTCATTTGGTAATTAAGAACCTCAATACTCTGACAGACTGGTCATAGTCAAATAAAATGTCTTAAATGCTATTGCAGATATCATAGCAAAATCTGCTCTGTATTTGATCAGATAAAAAATCTCATTTGGTTCACAAAATGGAAAATACAAATATAAATAAGAAGCTGACAGTAATCGGTAAGTATTATTAGAAGATAGCGACTGCTACATGACACTATGAATGTGAAGATGGGACGTGATACTTTCGTTAGCTGTTAATTTTATTGGACACGATAGTGGACATAACGATTGTTTCAATAAAATATTGTTGTTATTGTTATCATTTCCCCTCAGATAAAAAGTTTCAAGACTTTGAGATATCTGATGAAACTAGGTGTTCGTTTGTTTATTATCATTTGTTAACAACCCGGTATTTATTTAAACTGATTTAGTCCTTTCATGGCATATGGCTACAAAGAAATATATTATGACATAACAACTGAGTGAGCTCTTGACAAATTTTGTCGAGAAGAGCGTAGCATTCATTCGGCTACATTCTTACATAATATATATAGTTCGTCTGTGTATTTTCTCTGTTTCTACTTGATGTATGGAGTTTCACATCTTATGTTGATTAGAGTTACTTGCTAACTTACTGTTATACATTAATTTAGAAAGAAATATAAACGATTACGAAATGGAATACAATAGAGAAGTGCAAAAGACGACAAATTGCGTGATTGGGATGTCATTCCCAAAAATATTTCGTGCCCTCAAAAATCTTTGCTACTACATTACTGTCCGTGTTTATGGTACATAAGCTTGTGGATCTCTGTTCTCAGCTATGAACTTTTTAAATCTCGTAACAGAAGTAGCCGCGTAACATGAAACCAGTATGTTGTGTTTTTCTTCGAAAGATACAAAATATAAACCCAATGTCCAATCTCTATCAGCGGTAATGCAGCTGCAGAAGTCTCACTGATATAGAATAAGAAAAGTAGTCACATATATTTGTCAGACTGATATTTTTCCAAATAGTGAATATGTCTTTACATGTTCAAAGGGTTTTTTATTGTGTATTTTTGCTTTGAAAGTAGCAAAGCGTTGTTTTTAATTTTGGTCGGCACGCGAAAGAATTTTGTAATTAAATTTAGCCGATTTTTGCACGCAAGCCATAAAAGGTTGCCCAGGCCTGTTCTATACCTTGCACAAAATTGACTCCCCTTACGTTCTGGTTGCACCCCTGGTTTCAACAGTTCAAAACTTTGGGGTTTGACGAAATTCCCTGAGTAATAAAAGAGTTCTCTGATGGCTCGAAAAGGTTACGAATCACTGATATGAGAGTTTGCTAAATCAGGGCTTCCAAAACTTTTACAATTCGATGCAAGCCCGGCGCTTTTCAGATCCTATGCAATTTTTCAAAAGGGTGAGATTTATACGTTTCACTAGTGTTAATAGCTGTGTTTTGAATCAAAAGTATGAAATTTACATTAGATATACCGGTAGTACTCTGTGTGTGAAATTCGAGTATTCTTTTCAACCCCAAAGCTTCGTTGCTGCGTCTCACCTGCGGCGTCGATACCCCAGTTTGTGTATCTCTGCGCTAAATATCTAGTCTTTATCAACTGTTACTATCGGTCTGCACTTGTCTTGAAAAATTAAATATGATTTTCATATGTAGCTCGATTATATTGCTATGAATGTTATGTCTCCAACGTTTTGTTTGTACGAAGAAATTAGTGCAAACTGGACATTCAAACAATCACAAGTAATATTAAGCAAATGCCGACTGTCATCTGCATTGTTTATATTATTTGTGATCACGTGTCAGAAGCGTGATCGTCTCATGGCGATCCAGAGTTGACCTGGAATACCTGGACTAATTAAAAACGTTGATTACTAATTAGCGTTTTCGTCCACTCTTTACGCAGAAAGCCACAAGCGACAACGCCCCAGTAGCAAACGTACATGATGGAGTGCGGTCGATTTTGTGTGTGGCTGGTGCTAGAATATTACGCCAATTCTTTATTACGTTGTCTCTTCGGAACAATATTCAGGTGAGTTTAATTATAACTAATGTTTCTACTTTCTACTGCTTTCACTTTTTGTTTGTATGAAAGATCAACTTTTGGGGCCCAGTACAATGCAGTTGCTCGCTGAATCGCATTTTACTTTTAAAGTGGAATACGAATGTAACCCAATCTGAGATTCATTCTAACTTGATGAGTTAGTAAAAAATAAAAAGTTGATAGAATAGCTCTGCTGTTTCATCCATAAGGTCATGGATATTTTTGCAGGAGCATTCACATATTATATTCTAGAAAGGAGATCATCGCGTCGCTGCACTCCCCACGTATACAAGTACCCGAACGCCATGATCATCACTTTTATGACATTTCCAAATCCATGGATTTATATATACTTACCATTGCTTTTATATTTTGGCTATTGTGGCTAGATTTAGTCTCGTTTCCGCCATTAGAAGTGCTAAAGTTCTGCAACAGTTTATTATTAATTAATATCTCAACTTTTCATATGCAGAATTTCAAAAGTGGAAGAAGTAATGAAGATTCGAAACCGAGGAAAAAGTCTACAAGTAAATAATATTTAAACATTTTTTAATTTATATAGTAGGGTACAATATTGCAATATTTGAGGCGGTGTATCTATACGTACAATCGCGGCCGCGACAAAGTTTAAAAATGCGCCTCCTTGATCGTTGGCTCCCAATTTTGACTGTTGTTGAATTGAGGTATTTGTACGTTATTATTTAAGTGAAAATACGGCGATCATGTCATATACATTTATTTTCAGCTTTCTTAAACACTTGTTGAAAGTTGACAAAGCATCATACTACTTTATCAATAAGAGAAATTCGTCTGAGTGAGATGGAAGCCTATGGAGTCTGACCAGCAAAGCAAGTATGTAATTTGAAATATTTTGATTCTTTCGATTTAATTTGCATATTTAGGTTAAATCTAAGGACATTTCGTACAAATTTCCATTGTTGAAAACAAAACACCTCCGATAACGATCAACATAACAAATTAGTAATTTTCTGGATTGGGTTTGGGTTAGGAATGCAGATTGCGCTGGATATTCAGATTTTTAAATTGTCCTTAACCACAGCTATAGATAATTACGTATTTGTTATTTTGAAAATTGGTGGAGGTGTTTTTATCAAGTCTCATATTTTGGGCTACTCCTGAAGTACGCGTACTATGATGGCAGACTGCCGAACGTAGTATGTGTACCAGGTTAGGGTTAGGCTATAATTTTATTCTAATTTTCCTTATGTTAGTTGTATTATGAGTTCGAATATAATATAATATGCTAAAACAGTGCTCTTCAATTTTTTACTACATGTTACACCTGTTCATTTTTTTATTTCATTCGTATATAACTCGCAAATAACAAAGGGTATCTAATAATATAAAGTAGAAAAAGTTGTTTGGTGAAGTCATGATAGAAGTCTTACTCTGGTCACAAAATATTATGTGTGCTAAATTTATAACTATAGCTTGTAATCGGAAATTTGCGAATATCGTAGCCGCAGAGTTTTCTGCATATCTTTCGGCCAATCATTTTTTTTTGCATAGTATTCTATTGGTTGTATTTGCCCATGTAATTCATCTCGCAAATTTTGTGGCCGGGGGCACCCAAACACTCGTTGAATTAGTAAATCCCGGTGTTTAACACTGGCCGGAAAATATATTTGAATTAGGCTATAGCTGACTTACGCGGGTGGGCAAATTATGTCTTGCGGGTCGGCCCAACCTTGCTGAAAATCATCGTATACCAATAGTAAATTGCATGCTCGGGATCTCACTTGGTATACACTGGGGTATGGGTATATTGTATTCTCGGTTGAATATCCCTGCACTGAAAGATTATTCCAAATAAGCACTATTTGTATATGTTGAGGAAATCTGCGACAAATTGTCTTTTTTGTATAGTGAGTATAAGCTTATCTTATAGCAGAAAGATTGAATTTCTCTGTTCCTCTGAAATAATTTTACGCCATGAAGTCTTTCTATTAACCAGCTTTTTACTTAAATTAAATTTAAATTCAAAATATTTTACTACCGATATTCAAACAATCACGTTTAGCTGTTTAATTTGGAATTTGTGATTAATAATATAAATCAGAAAAAAATTGTTTGGTGAAATCATGACAGACGTCTTACTTTTGTTACAAGTTATTATATGTGCTAAATTACTGGTAACAAAAAAATGTGAAAATTGACGTTGATTTATTAGCGATACTAAAAACTATTCCAAATAGGCAATATTTGTGATATTTGGGAAAAGCACCAATGCGCGCTCATAATTTTTATGGCAAAGTCTATGGTCTATTAGAACCAAACCATTTTCATTTCGTAGAATTGCACCATCGATTTAAGTAGTCTGCAATACTGTAATTTGGCATTAAAAAAGGTAGAAAAATTCATTCTGAACAACCCACTAACTGGACCAATAACCAGAGAATATGGTGTAATGAGTATGACACTGTCTACCGCGGTGTTTCTTAACTTGGGTCCGAATTCCTGGGGTTCGGGGGAGCTGTTCCGGGGGTTCGATGAAGGTCGTCTGAAATATTTTTATTAAATCTTTCCTTTACCCAGCTTTTTACTTTTTCTATTTTACTTTTTATTCTACTTTTTTATTTTACTATATTCCACTGTAGATATGCAAACTTCCACGTTTAGCTGCTAGGCACAAATATTTTATTGTAACAATTTACGATTAGAACTTTTTATTATTTTTGCGCCGCAATCCAAAGTCGCCAATGGTAGGAGCTATAGCTGTCATACCCCAAATTGAGAATGAACTAAAAATACATTCATTTTCAGCTTTCTGAAACACTGCTTGGAAGTTAGAAAGACAGTACATCGTTTTATTGTCATTTGTCTTGTATTCATCACTGAGTGAGATGGAAGTTGGTCGAGTCTGGTCAGCAAAAGAAGTATTTAATCGAAATCTTCTAATTTTTTTGTTTGATTTGCATATTTAGGGTCAATCCAAAGATCTGTTGCACAACCCTCGTAGATTGCGCAGAAAATTAATAAATTTTCAAATTGTTCCTAATCCTAACTAGATAGTTACTAATTTGAAAATTAGTGTCGAAATTTTTGTACGAAAGACCCCAATCTAATATACTAAAATAGTGCTCTTGAATATTTTACTACGTGTTACAAATTATCCAATATTTATTTTCCTTTTATATACCTCGCAAATAACGAAGGTTATTTAATAATATAAATAGAAAAAAAGTTGTTTAGTGAAGTCACGACAGAAGTGTTACTCTTGTCACAAGATATTATGTGTGCTTAATTACTGGTAACAAAAAACGTAAAGATTGGCGTTGATCCATACCTATAGCTTTTGCTTAGAAATTGGCGAATAACGTAGCCGCAGTCTTTTCGGGGTACTCCCGTAGTATATGAACCAAGATGGCGGAAACCGGAACGTAGTATGTGTACCAGATTAGGATGAGGCCATAATGTTGTTTCAATACCCCTATTTTAGTTCTATTACGAGTTCGTAGACTTCCGTAGTATTTGTAACAGAAATTGTGGCCTAATTCGGGCGTACTGACTTTTCTGTATATCTCTCCGGCAATAATAATTTTTGTTTGTATACCCGGTTAAATATCACTGCACAACAAAATCATTCCAAATAAGTGATATTTGTAACTTTTTGGGAAATCTGCGTCAAATTTTTTTTATATATTGAGCATAATATTATCTTATAGCAGAAAAATTGAATTTCTTTCATCTTTTCTCTAGTTTAAGCAACATTGCGCGCCTATAATTTTTCTATTTCAAAGTCTGTTAACTGGGTTTGATTAACCGAACCCCTCCAGGGTCCTATTAAGGTCCTCTGAAATAATTTTATGTCACTAAGACTTTCCATTATTTAGTTTTTACCTGTGTGAAATTTTCTATATTTCACCGCAGATATCCAAACTTCCACGTTTAGCTGTTTAATTTGGAATTAGTGATTTGGCTCAATACGAGTTTCAATTATATCCAATCCCAAGTCGCCAATGTTGGGAGCTATAGCTGTCATACCCTAGCTAGATACACCACTGATAATTTGAGAATTAACTAAAAATACATTTCTTTTCAGCTTTCTAAGACACTGCTTGGAAGTTTGCAGGAAAACTTTCATCAAAAGAATTCTGTCGTGGTCATTTGTCTGGTGTTCATCACTGAGCAAGATGAAAGCCTATCGAGTCTGGCCAGCAGATCAAGTATGTAATCAAAATCTTTTGAGTCTTTCAATTCCATTTGCATATTTAGGAACAACTTAACGTTCTTTTGTACACCCCTTCACCCGGTAGAAAACAAAACACCCCCGCTAAGCGCTAACGTTCAGAATAATAAATTTGTATTTATCGTGTCAGAGTTGAGTTAGAATTGCAGATTGCGCGGGAAATAAAGATTTCCAAATTGTTCTTATCTATCCCTGACTAGATAATTATTTATTTAATTTTTAAAACTTGGCGGAAGTGGTTTTATCATATATCACATATTTGCATCAGTTTTGAGGGCTTTGTACGAAAGATCCTCATCTAATACACTAAAATTTGGCTCTTGAACATTTTACAACGCGTTGCATCTTTTTTAAGTTTTATTTTCCTCGTATGTACCATGAAAATAACAAAGGTTATTCAATAATACAGAGTAGAAAAAAATGTTTAGTGAAGTCATGATAGAAATCTTACCATGTTCACGAGATATTATATATATGTGCCGAATGAATGAAAAACGTAAAAGTTGACATTGTTGACTTATATTCGAAAAACGTAGACGCAAACTTTTCTGTATACTTCTATATAATTTGAATAGTATGGTTTCTATTTGCTCATGTACCGTAATTCATTTCGCAAATTGCATCGACGTGGGCGAACAAACACTTTAATTAGCAGGCTTGTGAAGGGATGGGACAGCACACATTTGTATTTCAAAATATCACGAAATATTTGGGACACCGAATTTTATATAAGATTACGTTTTGTGCGCCAACAAAGTTATCGTTTTGTCTTTACTGTTGCATTTCCAACATGATGTTATTTATTACCATTTTTTCTATGAATCCTATGAGATCTAATATTTCATCAAATTTTTAGATATATCATTTTTTACTCATGAGAACACGGTTTAAAAAACTGAATAATTTAGTAGACCTGGAATTACTAGGACAGTCCGCTTATCGTTACCTGTACCCTGATACACGTACTGGTAAGGTACCGTTGCTCTTCAGGATACCGTATGATTTTAGAGAATTAGATAGTAAAACATCTCGTTATGGACTTTATGTCCTTGAATTTGGGCATAGCTCTCTTGTTAGTTATACAATAGTTCTAATTTTTTAAAGTTAACAAAGTAAATAAGTTTTGTCTTTTTGCATGTTTCTTTTCGTATGCAGTCCTGTTTAGTAAACGCTTAACCTAAATTTAACAATTTTTATTGAATTGTGTTTCATTGGGAATCTCATGTGACGGGATGGGACAGAAAAAAATGTCTCATGGAAAAGGCCTGTGAATTAGTGAGTCTCGATGTTGAACGAGACTTGTGCGCGTTCAAAAACACAAAACGGACCGGGATATATATTCGAATCAAGCTATCGCTCTGACATGGGCAATCTACGTTCCGCGGGCCAAATCCGACCTATTGGGTAATTCAGTCTTGCCGGCCAGAAGCTGCCACAACCGACCTAAAACAAAATTTTGAAGTTGCAGATGAAAATAACTCAGGGAATTAATGAAATTATGATCAAGTTTAGTGTTGGCACCAGGGTCATTGTTTTCCACTTTATAAAATGTAACATTTACGTCACACGTACATGGCCCGCCAGTCTATATGGGCAAAATTTCTGGCACGAGGTTCAAAACCTTGCCCGCCCCTGCTAAGTATCGCTGTATACCAATATTTATTAGTATACCCGTGATCTGATTCTATATACACTTGGGTATGTAATATAATCGCTCGAATATCACTGCTCTAAAGGATCTTTTCTAATAGGTAATATTTGTATTTTTTGAGGGAAATCGGCGTCAAAATATCTTTTTGTGTATATTGAATCCAAATTTTAAAACGTCAGGAGAAAAAGAAGGATTCTAGTATTAAAATTAGAAGATGTATGAAGCATGCCCCAATAAGATGGAAATTTTGTCCACATTGTTGTTCGGTTGTGAATTGATTTGCACTTTCCCTTACTGTCGTCAATTGATAGTAACTGGGGAAAATGGAATGATAAATTTTAGATGTAGCTTCTGCTAGTTAATTAAACAAAATCTTGAGAGTTTATTTTGTTCGTCTTTTTAGTTTCGTCATGGTTTGTCTATTTCCTTGTCCACATTATTGTTCCGCCATGAATTGAATTAATTAATTGTAGTTGCATCTTTCTCTTACCATCGCCCCGCGGTAGCAACTGGGGAAAATAGAACGCTTGATTTTAGATGTAGCTTCTGTTAGTTAAGCTAAAAAAAAATCCTGAGTAATAAACATGCTTCGCTCTTTAAAAGTTGTTTTGGGTTCACTTTCTCTAAATCTGACTTTTCAGAATGCGCAGTCCGTATGTCGGTCAGTCGAAAATTTAGGGGTTCAAAGTATTTTTTTACTTATCAAGGGTAAGAACGTATATATTAAAAGTAGGAAATTATATATTGACTGGTTGTCTGTCGACTCACCTATAAATTTGGATTAAAAATGCGTCAAATTAGTTTTAACTGCTCGGCCAAGATTTGTTTGGTAGCAAGTAAATTCGAACTTTCATTTATATCATTCAAATCCGTACTAAAGTTAAATTTTTTCAAATTCAATTCCAAACTCCGCTGCAAGATAGTCAACATAGCAAACTTCAATTAAAATGCCATACAAAGAAGACATGAATATGAAACATAAGAATGTCTAGTGGGATAATTCTGGGAAACGTGCCATTCAAAAAATAGAGTTATTACGATTAATTTTACGACTTTTCGTATCTTCTTCGTGGAAAACTTTAAAAAGTCTTTTGTAAGATTTCTTTCTTGAGTAAGACGACCAAATTGAGTTCACGAGTTGGCGCAGTCTTTGCACACTGCCTAAAATTTAACATCTGATCTGTGTGAAAAAAATGATTCATCAACCTTCCGCTTTTAACTTTATAAAACTATGTGCGGCCTTCCAATGACTTGCAACCCCTAATTTTGGTCCGCGAGCGACAAAAGGTTGCCAACCTCTTCTGTAAGTCCATTGTTTGAGTACGTTACTTCATTTTCACTGCAGCCCTTGAAAAAAAATAGAATGCTATCACACGGGATCAATCAATACCCTATCTCGTGCCTACATTTAGAAGATATTTTCAACTACTATAACTACGAAGATTTATTTTCTCAATTATATGAATGCAAAAAATAATTCTATGCCATTGACATTATGATTAATTGTATATATTTTTTCTACAGGTTTTCTCAATTGAAAAACTTGGAATCTGGAATCATAAAATATAGTAAATAAAACTTGAGTGTTCAAATCTGAAGGAGAGTTTTATCAAACATATCTGAGAACTATTTGCAAACGAATGCATTGAGCGCACTTGGGAATGCACTTGGGAATATTTTAGACTATACCCCATGCCATGAGACCATGTTAGACTATATCCAATGGCATGAGACTATTTAGATTATACATAATGGTATCAGACTATTTATTTTAGACTATACCCAATGGCATGAGATTAATTCAGACTATACTCAACGACATGATTCTATTTTAGACTATACCCGATGACCTGATACTATTTTAGACTATACCCAATGACCTGATACTATTTTAGACTATACCCAATGACCTGATACTATTTTAGACTATACCCAATGCCATGAGACCAATTTAGACTATACCCAATGGCATGGGACTATTTTAGACTATACCCAAGGGCATGAGACTATTTTAGACTATACCCTATGTCATACATACTTTAATCCTCTAGACAAGAACAAATCTACAAGAATTCTAATTAAAACATGGGTCGACAAATCAAGTTTGTGTGATTTTAATAAATGAAAACAGACTCTTGATCGAACCATTGTTAAGAACACAATTCTTTTTTTTTTGTATTCTTTATTACGCTACAATACAATTTCTATATTTGATTTCATAATTATGAAAAATTAAGAATTTATAGTTCATGTATTTTGTAAAATCAAATAGTGGATATATTTATTATACCCAAACATCATTTACATTTGTATTTCAAATTTTCCATTCCATTCTAAACATACATTCCTGTGATTTCTTAAATAATTTGGCATCAAGGAGGCGACCGCATTCAACATGTTTGTCATATAACTTGATGATACAAATACTTTTCTGATTAATGAGGAATCAGCATTCAAAACATATTGCTATGATATCTCATTATTGTCTTATTTACTAATTTTGATACCCTTTATAATCAGTACGAACCAGATAAAGTCTATTCATGGTTGTCAATGCTACCAAAACACAAATCTAATCTATTATCGGTACTTTATCAACACTGATAAATCTTTGTTTGGAATCATCTTCGGAAAACAAACCAGGCCGGCATGGTTTGTCTCTTCTGTCGATGAATCTCCATCAAAAAAACAAAAAACACACAAATATAATACAATCACATATACAAGGGTTGGGCGGGGGTTGGGGGTTCTGGGGATTGGTGGGCCCATGACGGGAGGGAATACACAGCATGGCAATCATAGTTAGGCAATATTTGTTCGGCCAATGCTAATATAAAAATGACCACAGAATCTGGCAATTGGTGGTCAAAATTATCTGTTTTTATTTTAAATTTTTTGAATGTAAACATTATAATACAGTTGAATGTCGGAAACTTCTTTTCAAATCAGAAATTAAATGACAATCAAAGCATTTCACAATGTCCGAGTATGTGTTTGACAGGCCGCATTTTGGTGGCGCCATTCCTACTAGCATTAATTTCTTATAGTTTAAGAAAATAGGACAAATTCAGATATACCAAAACTCCTCTTTGTATTCTAATTTCCATTTTTTTCCTTTGATTTCCAATAAATATATCCACAATGTATTAATTTTTGCTGATAAATGTTTATTACTTATGGTACTTTGTTAAGAATATTGGATTCTTCAGAGATTAGTTCTATTTTTTTCTGATAATAGTTTTGTGTGTTACAAATTCAAATGTACCAACCTGTCAGCTAAAACTTGACTGAGATATTTATATTCAATTAGCACTGAAGAAAATGCATTTTTGAAATAAGCTTCATATTTGACTATCCCATTTGCGAAACTTGTTGATTAACAACCAAGAAAGTAACTAGATTTGTCATTATACACATTTTGATTTTAAAATGCTTATTTGTCCTTTTTTCATTTTTTGTCGAATATGCTAATTGAGTACAATCGTACTAATACTGTTTTATGTATACTTCTGATATTGCATATTTAAAAATGAATCATTTTCTGTAAGAGCCTCTATCTATATATTGCTATCTCATTTGTCATAATTAATATTCCCTATTCTATTTTTCTTGAGTTGTTTTCAGTAGGAAACAAGATATCGAGAGAGCGACAAAAGAACAAAAAGTTAAACAGGGCATGCGACGGCTTTTTTGTTTGTTTGTTTTTGAATAGTTTTTTCTTATCTATATATTATTTTTGATAAATTTACCAATTAATTTTTATATTATTTTTGATACATTTTCCCATTACGACATACCCACCATTGGAGGTGAGAAGGATTTGATTAGGCCTAGCTATTATTATTGTATCCCAGTTTTTCAGATATACAAATATAAAGATTGAGAAATGAAGAACAACCCAAGGACAAATATACCAAGTACATTTTTCATTTCGATTTAATTAGGCTTAGTTTTAAGAATGTTATTTTAGCTTTTCAGATATCGGAATATGAAGATGGAAATCTTTTATAAAGATTTAATTAGGCCTAGTTTGTTAATGTTACATTAGCTTTTGAGAAATAGGACTTTGAAGATGGAAAAAATAGAGAACAGAAGGAAGAACCAAGGACAAATATACAAAGTAAATTATTATATAGATTTAATTAGGCTTAGTATTATTAATATTATCTTAGTTTTTCACATATAGGACTCTGAATATGAAGAACAGAATGAAGAACCAAGGACAAATATACAAAGTAAATTATTATATAGATTTAATTAGGCTTAGTATTATTAATGTTATCTTAGCTTTCCAGATAAAGGACTATGAAGACGAAGAACAGAATGAAGACTAAGGACAAATATACCAAGTAAATTTTTTATATAGATTTAATTAGGATTAGGTTTATTAATGATATCTTAGCTTTTCAGATATAGGAATATGAAGATGAAGAACACAAGAAGACCATAGGGAAGACCAAGAACAAAATACCAAGTAAATTTTTTATATAACTTTTAAATAGACTTAGTTTTATTAATGTTATCTTAGCTTTTCAGACATAGCAGATGAATAACAGAATTAAGAACCCATGACAAATTTATCAAGTAAATTTTTTATATAGATTTAGTTAGGCTTAGCTTTTCAGATATAGGACTATGAAATAAAGAACAGAAGGAAGACCCAAGGACAAATATACCGACTTATTTTTTTATATAGATATACATTAGCCTAATTTTATCAATGTTATCTTAGCTTTTCAAATATAGGACTATGAAAATGAAGAAATGAAGGGAGACCAATGACAAATATTCCAAGTAAATATTTTATATAGATTTAATTAGGTTTAGTTTTAATAATGTTATCTTAGCTTTTCAGATATAGGTTTATGCGGATAAAGGAATGAAAAACAGAAGGAAGACCAAGGACAAATAAACCAAGTAAATTATTTCATATAGATTTAATTAGGCACAGTTTCAATAATGATATCTTAGCCTCACAGATATAGCTATATGAAGATGAAGAACAGAAGAACATAGGGAAGACCAAGGACAAATATACCAAGTTAATTTTTCATATTTGATTAATTAGGCATAGTTTATTAATGTTATCTTAGCTTCTCATATATAGACCTATGATGATGAAGAACAGAATGAAGACCAAAGACAAATATACCAAGTAAATTTTTTATATAGATTTATTTAGGCTTAGTTTCATTAATGATATCTCAGATTTACAGTTATAGAAATATGAAGATGAAGAACAACAAAACACAGGGAATACCAACGACAAATATACCAAGTAAATCTTTTATATATTTTTAAAAAGGCTTAAGTTTTATTTATGTTATCTTAGCTTTTCAGACATAAGACTATGAAGATGAAGAACAGAATGAAGAATCAACAAATATACCTGGTAAATTTTTTATATATATTAAAAAGGCTTATTTTTATTATTGTTATCTTAGATTTCCAGATTTAGGACTATGAAGATAAAGAACGGAAGGAAGAACCAAGGACAAATATACCAAGTCAATTTTTAGGTAGATATAATTAGGCTCAGTTTAATTAATGTTATCTTAGCTTTTCAGATTTAGGACTATGAAGATGAAGAACAGAAGGAAGAACCAAGGACAAACATACCAAGTAAATTTTTTATATAGATATAATTAGACTTAGTTTCAATAATGATATCTTAGCTTTACAGATATAGCTATATGAAGATGAAGAACAGAATGAAGACCAAGAACAAATATAGCTAGTCAATTTTTTATATAGATTTAATTAGACTTAGTTTCATTAATGATATCTTAGTTATACATATATAGGAATATGATGATGAGGAACAGAAGAACATAGATAGGAAAGACTAAGGACAAATATACCAAGTAAATTTTTTATAAAATTTTTAAATAGGTTTAGTTTTATTTATGTTATCTTAGCATTTCAGACATAGGACTATGAAGATGAAGAACAGAATGAAGAATCAAAGACAAATATACCAAGTAAATTTTTAAATAGATTTAATTAGGCTCAGTTTAATTAATGTTATCTTAGCTTTTCAGATTTAGGACTATGAGGATGAAGAACAGAAGGAAGAACCAAGGACAAACATACCAAGTAAATTTTTATATAAATCTAATTAGACTTAGTTTCAATAATAATATCTTAGCTTTACAGATATAGGAATATGAATATGAGGAATCGAAGAACATAGGACAGATTAAGGACAAATATACCAAGTAAATGTTTTATATAATTTTTAAATAGGTTTAGTTTTATTTATGTTATCTTAGCTTTTCAGACATGGGGCTGTGAAGATGAAGAACAGAATGAAGAATCAAACACAAATATACCGGGTAAATTTTTAATATATATTTAAATAGGCTTATTTTTATTAATGTTATCTCAGCTTTCCAGATTTAGGACTATGAAGATAAAAACGGAAGGAAGAACCAAGGACAAATATACCAAGTAAATTTTTATATAGATTTAATTAGGATAAGTTTAGTTAATGTTATCTAAGCTTTTCAGATTTAGGACTATGAAGATGAAGAACAGAAGGAAGAACCAAGGACAGATATACCAAATAAATTTTTTATATAGATTTTATTGGACTCAGTTTAATTTATGTTATCTTAGCGTTTCAGATACAGGACTACAAAGATGAAGAAGAGAAGAAAAACCAAGGACAAATAAACCAACTGAATTTTTTATATAGATTTTTAAATTAACTTAGTTTTATTAATGTTTTCTCAGATTTTAAGATTTACGACTATGAAGATGAAGAACAGGTGGAAGACCAAAGTACAACTATATCAAGTAAATTCTTTATATAGATTTATTTAGGCTTAGTTTTGTTAATGTTATCTTAGCTTTTCAGATATAGGACTATGAGGAGGAAAAAATGAAGGGAGGCCGATGACAAATACACCAAGTAAAATTAATTAGGTTTAGTTTTAATAATGTTTTCTTAGCTTTTCAGATAGAGGTATATGCGGATGAGGAAATGAAGAACAGAGAACAGAAGGAAGACCAAGGACAAATAAACCAAGTAAATTTTTTATATAGATTTAATTAGGCACAGTTTCAATAATGATATCTTAGCCTCACAGATATAGCTATATGAAGATGAAGAACATAGGGAAGACCAAGGACAAATATACTAAGTTAATTTTTTATATTTGATTAATTAGCCATAGTTTATTAATGTTATCTTAGCTTCTCATATATAGGACTATGATGATGTAGAACAGAATAAAAACCAAAGACAAATATACCAAGTAAATTTTTTATATAGATTTAATTAGGCTTAGTTTCATTAATGATATTTTAGGTTTACTGATATAGAAATATGAAAGTGAAGAACAAAAGAACACAGGGAATACCAAGGACAAATATACCAAGTAAATCTTTTATATATTTTTAAATAGCCTTTAGTTTTATTTATGTTATCTTAGCTTTTCAGACATAGGACTATGAAGATGAAGAACAGAATGAAGAATCAACAAATATACCAGGTAAATTTTTTATATATATTTAAAAGGCTTATTTTTATTAATGTTATCTTAGATTTCCAGATTTAGGACTATGAAGATAAAGAACGGAAGGAAGAACCAAGGACAAACATACCAAGTAAATTTTTTGTATAGATATAATTAGGCTTAGTTTCAATAATGATATCTTAGCTTTACAGATATAGCTATATGAAGATGAAGAACATAGGGAAGACCAAGGACAAATATACCAAGTAAACTTCTTATATTTGTTCAATTAGGCATAGTTTTATTAATGTTATCTTAGGTTTTCAGATAAAGGACTATGAAGATGAAGAACAGAATGAAGACCAAGGACAAATATACCAAGTAAATTTTTTATATAGCTTTAATTTGACTCAGTTTAATTAATGTTATCTTAGCTTTTCAGATACAGGTCTACGAATATTAAGAACGGAAGAAAGAACCAAGGACAAATATACCAACTGAATTTTTTATATAATTTTTAAATAGGCTTAGTTTTATTTATGTTATCTAAGCTTTTCAGATATAGGACTATGAAGATGAAGAACAGAATGAAGAATCAAAAACAAATATACCAGGTAAATTTTTTATATATATTTAAATAGGCTTTGTTTTATTAAGGTTATCTTAGCTTTCCAGATTTAGGACTATGAAGATGAAAAACGGAAGGAAGAACCAAGTACAAATATACCCAGTAAATTTTTATATAGATTTAATTAGGCTCAGTTTAATTAAGGTTATCTTAACTTTTCAGATTCAGGACTATGAAGATGAATAACAGAAGGAAGAACCAAGGACAAAGATACCAAGCAATTTTTTTTATATAGATTTAATTAGGCTTAGTTTCATTAATTATATCTTAGCTTTACAGATATAGATATATGAAAATAAAGAACAGAAGGAAGAACCATGGACAAATAAACCAAGTAATTTTTTTATATTGATTTAATTAGGCTTAGTTTCATAAATGATATCTTAGCTTTACAGATATAGGACTATGAAGATGAAGAACAGGAGGAAGAACCAAGGACAAATATATCAAGTAAATTTTTTAGATAGATTTAATTAGACCCAATTTTATTAATATTATCTTAGCTTTTCAGATATAGAACTATGGGGATGAGGAAATGAAGGGAGACCAATGACAAATATACCAAGTAAGATTTTATATAGATTTAATTAGGTCCAGTTTTAATAATGTTGTCTTAGCTTTTCAGATATAGGTTTATGCGGACGAAGAAATGAATAACAGAGAACTGGAGGAAGAACCAAGGACAAATATATCAAGTAAATTTTTTTAAATAGATTTAGCTAGGCTTAGTTTTATTATTGTTTTCTCAGATTTTAAGATATAGGAGTATGAAGATGAAGAACAGAATGAAGACCAAGGACAAATATATCAAGTGAATTGTTTATATAGATTTAGTTAGGCTTAGTTTTGTTAATGTTATCTTAGCTTTTCAGATATAGGACTATGGGGATGAAGGAATGAAGGGAGACCGATGACAAATATACCAAGGAAATTTTTTATATAGATTTAATTAGGTTTATTTTTAATGATGTTATCTTAGCTTTTCAGATATAGGTTGATGCGGAAGAAGAAAATGAGGAACAGAGAACAAAAGGAAGACCAAGGACAAATATACCAAGTAAATTTTTTTATATAGATTTAATTAGGCTTAGTTTCATTAATGATATCTTAGCTTTACAGATATAGGAATATGAAGATGAGGAACAGAAGAACATAGGAAAGACCAAAGACAAATATACCAAGTAAATTTTTATACAATTTTTAAATAGGCTTAGTTTTATTTATGTTATCTTAGATTTCCTGATTTAGGACTATGAAGATTAAGAACGGAAGGAAGAACCAAGGATGAATATATCAACTTCATAGATTTTCAAATAAATTTAGTTTTATTAATGTTTTCTCAGATTTTAAGATATTAGATTATGAAGATGAAGAACAGGAGGACGGCCCAAGGACAAATATATCAAGTAAATTTTTTTATATAGATTCAGTTAGGCTTAGTTTTGTTATTGTTATCTTAGCTTTTCAAATATAGGACTATGAGGATGAAAAAATGAAGAGAGATCAATGACAAATATACCAAGTAATTTTATTATATAGATTTACTTAGGTTTAGTTTTAATAATGTTATCTTAGCTTTCCAGATATAGGTTTATGCGGATGAAGACGGAGAACAGAAGGAAGACCCAAGGACAAATATACCAAGTGAATTTTTTATATAGATTTATGTAGGCTTAATTTTATTAATGTTATCTTAGTTTTTCATATATAGGACTATGAAGATTAAGAACAGAAGGAAGAACCAAGGACAAATATACCAAGTAAATTTTTTATATAGATTTAATTAGGCTTTGTTTCAATAATGATATCTTAGATTTACAGATATAGGAAGATGAAGATGAAGAACAGAAGAACATAGGGAAGACCAAGGACAAATATACCAAGTAAATTTTTTATATATGTTCAATTAGGCATAGTTTTATTAATGTTATCTTAGCTTACCAGATAATGGACTATGAGGATGAAGAACAGAATGAAGACCAAGGTCAGTTATACCAAGTAAATTTTTTATATAGATTTAATTAGGCTTAGTTTCATTAATGATATCTTAGCTTTACAGATATAGGAATATGAAGATGAGGAACACAAGAACATAGCGAAGACCAAGGACAAATATACCAAGTAAATTTTTTAAATAATTTTTAAATAGGCTTTGTTTTATTTATGTTATCTAAGCTTTTCAGACATAGGACTATGAAGATGAAGAACAGAATGAAGAATCAAAGACAAATATACCAGGTAAATTTTATATTTAGATTTAATTAGGTTTAGTTTCATTAATGATATCTAAGCTTTACAAATATAGGTATATGAAGATGAAAAACAGAAGGAATAACCAAGGACAAATATATCAAGTTAATTTTTTATATAGATTTAATTAGGCTTATTTTTGTTAATGTTTTTATAGTTTTTCAGATATAGGACCATAAAAATGAAGAACAGAAGTAGGACCAAAGGACAAATATATCGAGTAAATTTTTTATATAGATTTAACTAGGCCCAATTTTATTGATATTATCTTAGCTTTTCAGATATAGAACTATGAGGATGAAGAAATGGAGGGAGACCGATGACAAATATACCAAGTAAGATTTTTATATAGATTTAATTAGGTTTAGTTTTGATAATGTTGTCTTAGCTTTTCAGATATAGGTTTATGCGGACGAAGATATAGAACTATGAGGATGAAGAAATGGAGGGAGACCGATGGCAAATATACCAAGTAAGATTTCTATATAGATTTAATTAGGTTTAGTTTTAATAATGTTGTCTTAGCTTTTCAGATATAGGTTGATGCGGACGAAGAAATAAAGAACAGAGAACAGGAAGAAGGCCAAGGACAAATATACCAAGTAAATTTTTTTATATAGATTTATGTAAGCTTAGTTTTATTAATGTTTTCTCAGATTTTAAGATATAGGACTATGAAGATGAAGAACAAGAGGAAGACCCAAGGACAAATATATCAAGTAAATTTTTTATATAGATTTAGTTGGGCTTAGTTTTGTTAATGTTATCTTAGCTTTTCAGATATAGGACTATGAGGATGAAGAAATGAAGAGAGACCGATGACAAATATATCAAGTAAATTTTTTATATATATTTAATTAGGTTTAGTTTTAATAATGTTATCTTAGCTTTTCAGATATAGGTTGATGCGGACGAAGAAATGAAGAACAGAGAACAGAAAGAAGGCCAAGGACAAATATAACAAGTAAATTTTTTTATATAGATTTATGTAGTCTTATTTTTATTAATGTTATCTTAAATTTTCACATCTAAGACTATGAAGATGAAGAACAGAAAGAAGAACCGAGGAAAAATATACCAAGTAAATTTTTTGTTATATAGATTTATGTAGGCTTATTTTTATTAATGTTATCTTAAATTTTCACATCTAAGACTATGAAGATGAAGAACAGAAAGAAGAACCGAGGACAAATATACCAAGTAAATTTTTTATATAAATTTAATAAGACTTAGTTTCATTATTGAAATCTTAGCTTTACAGATATAGGTATATGAAGATGAAAAACCAAGGACAGATATAGAAATATGAAGATGAAGAACCAAGGACAAATATAGGAATATGAAGATGAAGAACTAAGGACAAATATACCAAGTAAATTTTTTTATATAGATTTAATTAGGCTCACTTTCATTAAATTTATCTCAGCTTTTGAGAAACAGGACTATGAAGATGAAGAACAGAAGGAAGACCAAAGGACAAATATAACAAGTAAATTTTTTTATATAGATTCAGTTAGGCTTAGTTTTGTTAATGTTATCTTAGCCTTTCAAATATAGGACTATGAAAACGAAGAACAGAAAGAAGACTCAAGGACAAATAAATCAAGTAAATTTTTTATATAGATTTAATTAGGTCTAATTTTATTAATGTCATCTTAGCTTTTCATATATAGGACTATGGGGATGAAGAAATGAAGGGAGACCGATGATAAATATACCAAGTAAATTCCTATTATTGATTTAATTAGGTTTCGTTTTAATAATGTTATCCTAGCTTTCCAGATATAGCTTTATGCGGATGAAGACAGAACAGAAGGAAGACCCCATGGACAAATATACCAAGTAAATGTTTTATATCGATTTATGTAGGCCTAATTTTATTAATGTTGTCTTAGTTTTTCATATATAGGACTATAAGGATTAAAAACAGAAGGAAGAACCAAGGACAAATATACCAAGTAAATTTTTTATATAGATTTAATTAGGCTTTTTTTCAATAATGATATTCTAGATTTACAGATATAGGAATATGAAGATGAAGAACAGAAGAACATAGGGAAGACCAAGGACAAATATACCAAGTAAATTTTTTATATATGTTTAATTAGGCATAGTTTTATTAATGTTATCTTAGCTTTTCAGATAAATGACTATGAAGATGAAGAACAGAATGAAGACCAAGAACAGATATACCAAGTAAATTTTTTATATAGATTTAATTAGACTTAGTTTCATTAATAATATCTTAGCTTTACAGATATAGGAATATGAAGATGAAGAACAGAAGAACATAGCGAAGACCAAGGACAAATATACCAAGTAAAGTTTTTATATAATTTTTAAATAGGCTTTGTTTTATTTATGTTAGATAACTTTTCAGACATAGGACTATGAAGATGAAGAACAGAATGAAGAAAGAGAGAAAGAAGACAAATATACTAGGTAAATTTTTGATATTCATTTAAATAGGCATTGTTTTATTAATGTTATCTTACCTTTCCAGATTTAGGGCTATGAAGATGAAGAACGGAAGGAAGAACCAAGGACAAATATACCCAGTAAATTGGTATATAGATTTAATTAGGCTCAGTTTAATTAAAGTTATCTCAGCTTTTGAGAATTAGGACTATGAAGATGAAAAACAGAAGGAAGAACCAAGGACAAACATACTAAGTAAATGTTTTATATAAATTTAATTAGACTCAGTTCAATTAATGTTATCTCAGCTTTTCAGATATAAGACTATGAAGATGAAGAACAGAAGGAAGAATCAAGGACAAATATACCAACTAAATTTTTTATATAGATTTTTAAATAAACTTTGTTTTATTATTGTTTTTCCAGATTTAAAGATAATAGGACTATGAAAATGAAGAACAGGAGGAAGACTCAAGGACAAATATATCAAGTAAGATTTTTATATAGATTTAGTTAGGCTTAGTTAGGCTTAGTTTTGTTAATGTTATGTTAGCTTTTCAGATATGAGCCTATGAAAATGAAGAACAGAAAGAAGACCCAAGGACAGATATATCAAGTAAATTTTTTATATAGATTTAATTAGGCTCAGTTTATTTAAAGTTATCTTAGTTTTTGAGAATTAGGACTATGAAGATGAAGAACGGCGGGAAGAATCAAGGACAAATATACCAACTACATTTTTTATATAGAATTTCAAATAAACTTTGTTTTATTAATGTTTTTCCAGATTTTAAGATAATAGGACTATGAAAATAAAGAACAGGAGGAAGACTCAAAGACAAATATATCAAGTAAATTTTTTAGATAGATTTAGTTAGGCTTAGTTTTGTTAATGTTATGTTAGCTTTTCAGATATAGGAATATGAAAATGAAGAACAGAAGGAAGACCCAAGGACAGATATATCAAGTAAATTTTTTAAATAGATTTAATTAGGCCTAATTTTATTAATGTTATCTTAGCATTTCAAATATAGGAGTATGAGGATGAAGAAATGAAGGGAGACCGATGACAAATATATCAAGTAAATTTTTTATATAAATTTAATTTGGTTCAGTTTTAATAATGTTATCTTAGGTTTTCATGATATAGGTTTATGCGGATGAAGAAATGAAGAACAGAGAACAGAAGGAAGACCAAGGACAAATACACCAAGTAAATTTTTTATATAGATTCATGTAGGCTTTGTTTTATAAATGTTATCTTAGCTTTTCAGATATAGGACTATGAAGATGAAGAGTAGAAGGAAGACCTAAGGACAGATATTCCAAGTAAATTGTTTATATAGATTTAATTAGGCTTAGATTTATATATATATTATCTTAGCCTTTCAGATATAGGATTATGAAGATAAAGAAATAAAAAACAGAAGAAAGCACCAGAGACAAATATAACAACTAAATTTTTTTCTATAGATTTAAATAGTCTTAGTTCATTAATGGTATCTTAGCTTTTCAGATATAAGATAATAAAGATGAAGAATGACGAACAAAAGGAAAAACCAATGAAAAATATACCAAGTAGATTTTTCTATATAGATTTAATTAGGCTTAGTTTTATTCATTTTATCTTAGCATTTCAGATATAGGACAATGAAGATGGAGAAATAGGGAACAGAAAGAAGAACCAAGGACGAATAAACCAAGTAAATAATTTTTTATACAGATTTAATTAGGCTTAATACTATTAAAATTATGTTAGCTTTTCAGATATAGGACTATGAAGATAAAAAAACAGAATGAAGAATCAAAGACAAATATACCAGGTAATTTATTTTTATATATATTTAAATAGGCTTAGTTTTATTAATGTTATCTTAGCTTTTCAGATTTAGGACTATGAAAATGAAGAACGGAAAGTAGAACCAAGGACAAATAAACCAAATAAATTTTTTATATAGATTCAATTAGGCTTAGTACTATTAATAATATCTTAGCTTTTCAGATATAGGACTATGAAGATGAAGAACAGAATGAAGAATCAAAGACAAATATACCAGGTAAATTTTTTATATATATTTAAATAGGCTTAGTTTTATTAATGTTATCTTAGCTTTTCAGATTTAGGACTAGAAGATGAAGATCAGAAGAGAGAACCAAGGACAAACATACCAAGTAAATTTTTATATAGATTCAAATAGATTCAGTTTAATTATTGTTATCTTAGCTTTTCAGATATAAGACTATGAAGATGAAGAACGGAAAAAAGAACCAAGGACAAATATGCCAAGTAAATTTTTTATATAGATTTTTAAATAAACTTAGTTTTCTTGGTGTTTTATCCGATTTTAAGATATATGACTATTAAGATTAGGAACAGGAGGAAGACCCAAGGACGAATATATAAAGTAAATTTTTTATATAAATTTATTTAGGCATAGTTTTGTTAATGTTATTTTGGCTTTTCAGATTTAGGACTAGAAGATGAAGAACAGAAGGAAGACCCAAGGACATATATCAAGTAAATTTTTTATATAGATTTAATTGGGCCTAATTTTATTAATGTTATCTTAGCTTTTTTGAAATAGGAATATGAAAATGAGGAACCGAAAGAAGACCCAAGGACAAATATACCAAGTAAATTTTTTATATAGATTTAATTAGGTTTAGTTTTAGTAATGTTATCTTAGCTTTTCAGATATAGATTTATGCGGATGAATAAATGGAGAACAGAAAACAGAAGTAAGACCAAGGACAAATATACCAAGTAAATTTTTTTTATATAGATTTTATTAGGCTTAGTTTTATTCATGTTATCTTAGCATTTTAGATATAGGACTATGAAAATGGATAAATATAGAACAAAAGGGGGAACTAAGGACAAATATACCAAGTAACTTTTTTATATAGATTTATTTAGGCTTAGTATTATTAATGGTATCTTAGCTTTTCAGATATAGGATAATGAAGATGAAGAACAGAATGAAGAATCAACCAGGTAAATTTTTTATATATATTTAAATAGGCTTAGTTTTATTGATGTTATCTTTGCTTTTCAGATTTAGGACTATGAAGATGAAGAACGGAAGGTAGAACAAAGGACAAATATACCAAGTAAATTTTTTATATAGATTTAATGAGGCTGAGTTTAATTGATGGTATCCTAGCTTTACGATTTAGGACTATGAAGATGAATAACAGAAGGAACAACCAAGGACAAACATACCAAGTAAATTTTTCATATAGATTTAATTAGAATCAGTTTAATTTATGTAGGCATAGTTTTAAAATTATTTATTTACTATTAAAATTATGTTAGCTTTTCAGATATAGGACTATGAAGATAAAAAAACAGAATGAAGAATCAAAGACAAATATACCAGGTAATTTATTTTTATATATATTTAAATAGGCTTAGTTTTATTGATGTTTCTTAGCTTTTCAGATAAAGGACTATGAAGATGAAGAACAGAAGGAAGACCAAGGACAAATATACCAAGTAAATTTTTCACATAGGATAAATTAGGCTTAGTTTCATTAATGATATTTTAGCCTTTCAGACATAGGAATATGAAGATGAAGAACAGAATGAAGAATCAAAGACAAGTATAGCAGGTAAATTTTTTATATATATCTAAATAGGCTTAGTTTTATTAATGTTATCTTAGCTTTTCAAATTTAGGACTATGAAGATGAAGAACAGGAGGAAGACCCAAGGACATATATATCTTGTAAATTTTTTATATAGATTTAGTTAGGCTTAGTTTTGTTAATGTTATCTCAGCTTTTGAGATATAGGACTATGAAAATGAAGAACAGAAGGGAGACCCAAGGACAAATATATCAAGTAAATTTTTTATATAGATTTAATTAGGCCTAATTTATTAATGTTATCTTAGCTTTTCAGATATAGGACTATAAGGATGAAGAAACGAAGGGAGACCAATAATAAATATACCAAGGAAAGTTTTAATAATGTTATCTTAGTTTTTCAGATATAGCTTTATGCGGATGAAGAAATGAAGAACAGAAGGAAGACCAGGGAATGTTATCTTAGTTTTTTAGATATTTGTTTGTGCGGATGAAGAAATGAAGAACAGAGAACAGAAGGAAGACCAGGGACAAATATACCAAGTAATTGCAAATTACCGAAAATAATAATTCTTATATCCTAAAAAGCAATTGGAAGAATTATTGTAATGTGATTGTAATTATTGTGAATTGAGATATTGTAAATCGATGATTTAATTTTTTATTGTTTTGCGTTGATTTCCAAAAGAAATTCGCTAAAAATATTGTATTTATGGACATTCATGGTGAGAATTGCAGTTAATTGCATTGATTAGGGAATTTTTAAAAACTGCAATAGAATATTTTTAATAAATGGTAATTCATTTTATACCTGATTTTTGGAATCTTGGTGGAAAACAGATTTAATTAAAAATAATTTTGACATTTGTAAACTGCAATTAATATTTTTACGTTACATATTTTTTTAGGAGATTCGCAGAGAAGAGGGAAGTATGAAGATCGTGTTTGCGGACCCACACATTTAGGTAAAATAATATTTTTATTAAAGTAAGATATGTTTATCAGAAGGCGATTTTTTTACGCATTGCTGGTCGTAAATAAATAATCGTATGGCTCATTAAACGGCTGGAACTGGTTTTGTTGTAGTTTTACTTTATTGCCATTCTAATCTTGAAAAAATATCAGCCAAAAATTTTTCACTGTAATGTGAAAAAAATACCCTAACAATTAATTTCAGCTAAATAATTTTTTTTAGTAAAATTCGGAAAACTGATTGTATTTTATTTAAAAAAAAAAAAACTCGCCAATAATGGGAAAAAGTATGAACAGAAAAGAATTTTTTTTGGCACGTACATGATTAGGCAACAAATATTAGCAATGACTGAAAATTATAATAATTGTAAAATTGAGTTACATAAAATGAATTAATATCATAATTTGCTTATCTTTGCTGGCTTCCACCAATTTGAAAACTATTATATGAGATATATCTAGCCTACACTACGCATATAATGACAAGACAATTTATCGTTGCATTAAAATTTATACAACATTGTCAATTCTCTGATCACTGAGTGAGATGGAAGCCTATCGAGTCTGACCAACAAAGCAATTATGTAAGAAATTTTTTTTGAATTTCCAAATCTTAGGAAATATTAATTGATACATCACGTTTAAACACTGTTAGTCGTGTATTATGCGTGAATTATCTCATTCAAACAGTTGTTGATATTTGAATGATCAAGCTTTAATATGTAGACTATAAACATATTCCAATTCAAAGTCAAAGTTATGCAATGGATACAATGAAATTGATGTTTTTACTGAATCATCATTTCATTATCGCTATTGGCTATATAGTTTTCAATTAGATCGGGAAGTTGTGGCATTGTCAGAACGCAACAATTATGAATCAATGTAACAATTAAAATCATGCGCTGTATCCTGTTAATAATTTCAGTTCGCTCCTACATGTTGTAAACTGAACCCGATGTAGGCTGCTAGGCAGATTAGTATCTTATGAATTCGGGTAGACAGCATCATCTCCGGTTTAGCTCTGATGGCATCAAATATTTGTTTATCGTATGTCTATATTATTCTATAATATGAAAGCAAAAGATAATGCCATACCACCTGCTTCATGAATTTTTTGTTTTATATTTACAGGTTTTCTCAATCATTAAACTTGGACTTGCCACACCAGTTTATCAAATCTAAGCATGCAACTATAATGATAACTAAGATGTTTTCACAGACAAACGCATTGCAGCGCACTTGTGAGACCCAAGGCTTTAATATAAAAAAGACTGAATGTAACATGATTTGTATTCAAACGCTTCTACAAATCACGTATATTAACAATTTATAATTTAGTAATTTTTGATGGATGCGAACAATAGGAAACCGCATAAATGATCATTGATATTTGTTTTCATTATATCTACCACATTTTTTTATTTCGACTGCATTTTGATTTCTGCATTCCTCCATTTCATTTATAAACAAATATCTCTGTAATATTAAAATAATCTGAAATGACTTATTAACAATGTATTATGTAATTTCTTATGTAATTTTTAATAAATGCCAATGAATGAATAAGACGCATATCTGATTGTTATTTGTTTTCATATCACCAAATTTTGTTCATAAAAGTATTGTTGATTTTATTTTATTTTAATTTCCCCCCATCTCTCCATTCTAGTTAAAATAAAACATCTATTTCCGTAATATTATAATATTCTGGCATGAAGGAGGCAGCGTCAATCATCACATTTGTCATATAGCTTAATTATACAAGTACTGTCCTAATTAATGCCAAATTGGCATTAAAATATAAAACATGAAAAATCATTTTTTGGAATCATTTGTTTGTTAAATCACGGATTCTGTCGATAAACAACTGATGTGTGATTTGACCTGTATTTAGTACAAACCAAATAAAGTCTATTATGATTGTCGATGCTACCATAACACAAATACAATATATTACCAGTACTTCATCAACACTGCCGGTTTTTGTTTGGAAATCATCTTCAGAAGACAAACCAGGCCGGCATGGTTTGTATCTTCTGTCGATGACGCTCATTCAAAAAAATAAAATATATTACACTATTATGGGAGGGGGGAAGGTGGTTCTGGGAAGAGGTTGGGCCCAGGGAGGGAGAACACAGCATCGACATCATTATCAGGCAATATTTGTTTGGCCTATACTAAAATAAAACCATTGGCAGAATAAGTAAAAGAAAAACTATTGACAGAATCCGCTATATTTGAAATAATTTATTTAGATTTCTGCAATTTCTTCAATATATAAATTACAGTTGAATGGCGGTACTTTCTTTCTACAATCAGGAATTGTATGAGAAACAAAGCGTTTTACTAATTAAGTAGTAGTAAACCCTACGAGCCTCATTGTTTGACAAGCCGCTGTTTGGTGGCAGTAATCATTTTCAAAGACTCATTCTGTTACCAAATTTCCCGTAATGTCTAAATAAGAGATATTGTCAGTAAAAAAACTTTGCTCAAAAGCGCGCTTCCCATGATCATTCCATGGAGTTCATTCCCATTTTATTTGATAACTGATTTTCTAACGAATCTATATGCACATAGTTTTTTTTACTGATTGTGAAATATTACCTTTTCCCTCCCTGATGAGTAATCTTTTTTTGTGTACAAATTCGAATATACCTAATTTTTTGGGTGTGTTTGACAAGCCACAAGAATCTTTTTGACTCGTCATGATGATAGAATTAATGCTGTGTTCCTATATTCAAAATTGCCTAAAATGAAACAATTGTTTGGCACTAAAAATAAACCTTTTTCTATAATATGCTGTCTCCATTTGGCTATCCCATTTGCCATATTCATGATGAATGATAAATCACCACGAACAGTGACTAGTATTTTCATTATAGAAATTATGCTTCACGTTACGCTTTTGTATTTCCATGACCAAAATTTGTCTTGATTCTTATTTGATAACCTATTTTTT